CTAGCAAAGTTCACCAGACCTACTTGCTCTTTGTGAGACTAATTTGAGTTCAGCTGTCTCATCTTGTGATCTTAGTGTTGATGGTTATCTTCCTTTAATTCGTAAAGACTCCAATAGTCACATGCTTGGCCTGGGCATTTACATTCGTAAAAATTCACCCATTTGTCGGGAAACTAGGTTTGAATCCACAGACTACTCTTTTATGTGCTTTCGTTTAACACCACTTCACTTTATCACCTTTCTCTTTGTTCTATATCGCTCTCCTTCATCTCAAGACTGCACTCTTCTTTATGTTATTTCTGATTATATTGACCAAGCCCTCATTCTTTATCCATCAGCCAATATTGTTGTTGTCGGTGACTTTAATATTCATCACACTGAATGGCTTGGCTCTAGTGTCAGTGACTCTGCAGGCATTAAGGCCCACAACTTTTGTCTTTCTCAATCCCTAATTCAAATAGTCAACTTTCCAACTCGCTTTTCAGACAATTCATTTACCTTCTCTACTCGACTTATGTCTTGTTTCTGATCCTAGTCAGTGCTCAGTTTCTTCACACTTACCCTAAGGTGCGTCTGATCATGGTTTGGTCTCTCTAAAACTAATATCTCATTCTTCTTTACCATTAAAATCCCCCTATTATCGTACATCTTACAACTACATTAAAGCTGACTGGGACTCTTTCCGTGATTTTCTTTGTGATGGCCCCTGGGTAGAAATCTTTCGTCTTCCTGTTGACAAAGGTGCTTCTTACATAACTCGGTGGATTCAGGCTGGCATGGTATCCTTTATTCCCTCTCAACAATTCCAGGTCAAGCCTCACTCTTCTCTATGGTTTTTCTCACATTGTGCTGCTGCAATTGCCAATCGAAACCATTACTTCCATATCTATCAGCAAAACAATTCTCCAGAAAACAGACGTCTGTTTATTACTGCTAAGAACCATTGTAAAAAGGTTTTGTCTAAAGCCAAAGCCCGCTATTCTCAGATTATGAAATCTCGTATTTCATCACAAAAATTAGGCTCTCGTGACTTCTGGAGAATCTTTAATAGTATCAATAATAAGGGCAAGTCTGTAATTCCACCTCTTTTATATGGTTCAGACTTTGTCACCTCACCTAAAGACAAAGCTGAATTGTTTGCCAAGGAATTTTCATCAATATCATCTCTTGATGCCACTAGTTGTGTTCTACCTGATATAGCCGTCGAACAGGTTGATCCATTGCTCGACATTCGTATCACTCCAGCTTCTGTATCTAAAGTGATTTCCCGCTTAGACTCTTCTACAGCTTGTGGCCTGGACAACATACCTGTTATAGTCTTGCAGAAGTGTTCTCCGGAGCTGTCGTCTATTCTTTCAAAACTATTTAACAAGTGCTTATCAGAGTCTTGTTTTCCAGCCTGCTGGAAAGCAGCATCTGTTATCCCTATTTTTAAAAATTCTGGAGAGCGATCTGATTCATCTAACTACCTTCCCATTAGTCTTCTTCCTACCATAAGTAAGGTTTTTGAATCTTGAATTAACAAACACTTAATCTCGAATCTCGAATCTCATAACCTACTTTCTGATCATCAATATGGATTTCGATCTTCTCGTTCTACGGCTGATTTGCTATCAGTAATAACCGATAGGTTTTATCGCGCATTAGATAAAGGTGGAGAGGTTAAGGCCATTGATCTTGGCATTTCTAAAGCGTTTGATAAAGTTTGGTATGCTGATCTCCTCCATAAGCTTTCTTCTTACTTACTTAGGGGGCATCTGAGCTTGAAAAGGATATCACTCCTACAGCATGGGGCTCACAGTGGGTGGTGAACTTTAATTCAGATAAACTCATTTTTTTTGGCCAATCGTTATCGCAATAATTTAGACCTTCCTATGAACGGTAATATACTCGATGAGTCTCCTACCCTTCATCTTCTAGGATTAACTCTTACTTCTGATTTTTCTTGGAAACCTTATATCAAATCCGTTGCAAAATTAGCATCTGCTAAAGTTGCTTCTCTTTATCGAGCTTGTCACTTTCTTACTCTGGATTCTATTCTTTATCTCTATAAATCTCAAATCCGGCCTTGTATGGAATAATGTTGCCATATCTGGGGCGGATCTTCTAATGATGCCCTTTCTTTTTTAGACAAGGTGCAAAAACACATTGTAAACATAGTTGAACCTGCTCTTACAGCCAACCTTCAACCTCTACAAATACTATAATGGGCACGCTCTAAAGAGCTAGCGTCTCTTGTGCCATCTACTATAATTCATTCTCGTGTTACTCTTCATTCAATTAAGTCTCATCCTTTTTCTGTTACTGTTCCTAAGTGCTCCAAAAACTCTTATTCGTCTAGTTTTTTTCCTCGAACATCATTTCTTTGGAATTCGCTTCCTTTATCTTCCTTTCCTGATTCATATAATTTGCAATCTCTTAAGCCGTCTGTCAATCGTTATCTTGCTCTACAATCTTCATCTTTTCTGTTCCAGTAACTTCCAACACTTGCAGCCTTGTTGGAAGCGAAGATAATTAAAAAAAAAATTTATATATTATATATATATATATATATATATATATATATATATATATATATATATATATATATATATATACATATTAGTGGAACCTAATAGTTAACTATTAGGTTCTAGGTATAATACTAGTTTCTAGTGTTTTCTTACTTATGTTAAATAAACTAATTTTTAATTATTTAACTAAAAATTTTTATCTTTATTTTATTTAATTTTCCTTATTTAATTAAATAATCTTTATATAAAAAAGAAAGATATTATACAAACTAATTATTAAGAGTATATTATGTTAAACAAAATATTATATATATTTTAGAAATTTACGTAAATATGAAATATTGCGTTTTTTGTTAAAATATTTGCTTTGTAAAATCGAAAAATATATTTGTATTTGAGGCTTATACATTTATTTTCATTTAAAAAAGATATAATTAAAATTAGCAACCTACTAAAAAGAAGCAAAAAATCTATATTCATAAACTATTTTAATAACAACCTGAACAACATAAAAAATACATGGAAAGGCATTAAAGAAGTCATTAACATTATATCATCATCCCACAATGCACCTTTTCAACTAAATTTGAATGAAAATATTATCACAGACCATACCACTGTCTCTAATATATTTAACTACTTTTCAATTTGTAATCAACTAAATACGCCGCCATTTTGGGAGGCCAAAACTGGCTTCAAAAAATTTGCCGAATACGCTATCCAGTTATATTTTGAGATCAGTGGTTTAATAATATGTTTCTACGGCTTGTGGTCAAAGCAACATTCCTGTCATAGTCTTGCAAAAGCGTTCTCCAAAACTCTCTCAAAACTATTGAAAAATTGCTTGACTGAATTTTTCTTTCCTGCCTGGTGGTATATGAATCTGTGGTATATGACATCTGTGGTGTGTTAATAACTCTAAAGAACAATCTAACCCTACCAACTATTGTCCAATAAGTCTTTTCTTTATCATTAGCAAGGTCTTATAGTCTTTGATAAAAATATGTTAACATTTTTAACATCCCATTTTGATTCTAAGAACTTACTCTCTGATAATCGAAATGGTTTTTGATTATTTTGTTCTACGACTGACTTGCTAACTGATATAACTAATAGGTTCTATCGTGCATAGGAGGTGGTGAGGCAAAAGCATATTGTATGCGACACACCTAAAGCTTTTGATAAAGTTTGGCATGCTGGTATTTTCCATAAACGTGCTTTATATATTGTATCTAGAAAAGTTTTTGAGATTATTAAACTATTTCTTTCCAACAACTTTTTTAGTAACTTATCTTATCTATATTATTGATCGTCTTGGCAATTTATAACTTAGAACAGGAAATCTAGAATCTTATCTTACCTTTGAAATGCTTGGGGCTTGCAGTGGCTTGTGAATTTCAAATCTAATAAAACTCAGCTATTTCCTGCACATAACTATTGCAATACTGCCGACAATTCTATTTTAATGAATGGCAACCCGTCTAACTTCTTCGATATGTCTTCTTGGACGAAAGAAGACGTAAAGAAAAGGGATTATCACTACTGTCCTCTGATGGCAACTATATATACAATTAATTGGAAAGTTAGCATCTGTTAAAGTTACTGCATTTGCTAAGGTTGTTTCAATTTATCATGCTCTTCGTTAACTTACTCCTGATTCAATTTTTTACATCTAAAAATCTCTTATTCATCCTTGTATGGTATTCCATATTCCACTGTTGTCATATTTGGGCTGGTTTTTCTAATAATGCTCTTTTTTTTAGACAAAGTCCAAAAACGGGACGACTAAAAAAGCGCGAATTTCATAAGTGTGAACTGGCATTAGCGCGAATCAGTTACAAAAACTGGCACAAGTGCAAACTGGCATAAGTGCAAATTGGCATAAGTGCGCCAAATAAATTTGCAAACAATGGCATAAGTGCGAACTGGCATAAGTGCGAATTACTAATCTCCATTTATGCTAATATTTACACTTATGTCAATTTTTGCACTTATGCCAATTCGCACTTATGCAAGTTCGCACTTGTGCCAGTTTTTGCAACGCTTTGCACTTATGCCAGTTTGCACATATGCCATTTCGCGCTTAAAACATAGTGTCTGCCAAGCTTGAACCTCTTTCCTATCGTTGTAAAGTTGCTTCTCTTTCATCATAGTTGTTGCTCAAAGGAGCTGTTATCTCTAATTACATCAACCAAAACTCATTCTTGCTTGACTTGTCATTCGCCAAAGTCATATCTTTTTACTGTATCTGTTTCTGCTCTAAAAACCTTTATACTTCTAATTGTTTCCCCCGCACTTCAATCCTAACTCTCTCCCATCTTTATGTTTCCTGATTCATACAGCCTACAACTATTCAAGCCAGCTGTCAACCGTTTCTTTGATCTTTAACTCTATTTTTTGTTTTTTAGTAACTCACCACTTAATAATGTTTGTTTGGGAGTTCTTTTTTAAGAGTGAATTAGATTTAAAAAAAGAAGAGACAAATTATAGTGTGAATTGTTAGTAAAAAACTAATCCTCTAATTTCTATTTTAATAAAAAGGTATTTACAATTTTTATATACACAATAGAAAATTTAAAACCCGTCATCCATGCTTTTAATTTAACTTTTGTTCATCAACATTTGGAGTTCAAATCATCCTGATTTCAACAGCTCTTCAAAAACGATTTCTTTGTTTGACGACTTTATTAGATGAAAAAAATCTCGTTTGCAAATCGCTTTCTTTTTCAGGATCTGTTAAACGTTATGAAAATTAACTTAAATATTAGTAAATATTGGTCACAATACAAGTTTGATAAAATCAGTAGAGTCAAGCGATAAAGAGTTTTTTCTTGTAATGTCATTTAATGTCATTCTTCGAAGCGGGTCGGTAGGATCACTCTCTCTTCTTTCTTTTTTCTCCTCAAAAACAAGACGGCAAACTTCAGCAAAGATATTCCTTACGTCGTGCACTGGAACCGCAGCAGAACTTTCAAATACTTTAACATTATACGATGCTGATAATAATCCAGCATCAGTCTTACTAACTTGACGCTTTTTAGGAAGATCGTTTTTGTTTCCTACAACTATAATTGGAATGTTGTTTAAATTCAAGTCTCGTACATTTTTTATAAGAGTTTTTATGTTTTCAAAGCTCTCTTTATCAATAACTGAATAAACGAGAATAACAGCGTCTGCGTGAGAGATCAACGCGGTATTCTAAAACGAGTCAAAATGTTTTTAGTTATTTGATCTTTTTGCCAGAAATTAAAATTAAAACGAAAGAGAATAACACCTTACTTTTCCCTTTGAATCCATGATGTCAAGTTGAGCCTTGTTAGCACCAACATTGACAGTGTATTTGTACGCCTCCTCCTTCCCCGGAACATAATGATTGAAAAACTGGTTTGTGAGGCATCGGATAATTAATGCTAAATTAAATATTAATTGAATAGTTGATGGTAAATTAAAAACAAATTGAACCTTAAACTTCACATATACAGCACTACACAAACAAATTAAACACAAAATCATGAATATGATAGTCTATCAAGCGGTGAACAAGTATTTTTACGTTTTTCTAATTTAGACAACGAGCTTCAGAAAGTAAAAGTTTTTCAGGTTGATTAACTGAAATATAGTTAAAATATGCGATTGTAATTACAATGCTTTTTTCTTATTTAAAACATAATTTTGTCAAATATCATTATCTTATGAAAGTAGTTTACTTGATATTAAATTTAGAAACAACTAAAAATCTCTTTCCCTTATGTAAGTTCTTATTAACCCTTTCTTTCCCGATTTATGAAATTTAAAAAAAAAAGCGTTACAATGACTTTTAATATATTCAAAAAACAGTTGCGAATCGGCGCGATCATTTTTAAATTGCACATGTTGTCTATTATAAAGTTTATAAAGTTTATTTTTACAAAAACAGTTGTTTCACTTGAAGACTTCTTTAAAAACAAATGAGTCAACATTCTAAAATTAGTATTTAATAGTTGTAAGGCGTTGAAAGCAAAAAATAAAAACGAATTAAGATTAAATCAATTTATTAATTTTAACAATTTTTATGGACCCTAAAAACACACTAAACAGGGCCGACGACGCCGGGGGAATGGGGGCGGGGGCATGGTTATTAAAAATTCAAATTCTTCAAAGGTTCATGATTATAAAAACTCAAATTTTAGTTTTAAAAACCATTGTGTTTGTAACAGAGCTTCCAGAACTCCAGATTTTGCCATGAGTCTCGAAGTTAAATTATAATTCTCACGGTTGATTTAAAATTCCCCAAGTAAATTTTTAAAATGTTCATCTATTTTTTTATTTTTTTATTGCTTTTGTCCATAGATTTGGTAGAAAAGATGTATAAAACCGAAGTAATACAATATGATGCTTAGTCCACCCAGAACTTGACGCACTTTAAGTAATTCTTTTAAGAGCTGTAATGACTTCAATATAGACTATAATTTAATTATAAGTCATTAAAATCTGTTTTTTTTAAAAACCCTTGATAAAAATTAGATATTCATACAAAAATCTGAAGAAAAATCTAAAAAAAAGTACTTTTCTTAAATTGGGTAAATCATAAAAATAAAAGCATTGATTTTTTAACGCAATTTGTTATTTTATACTTGATTACCAGCTAAAACATTAGGAAAAAAATAAAAATATAGATGAACATTTTGAAAATTTACCTGGAGAATTTTAAATTAACTGTGAGAATTATAATTTAACTTCGAGACTCATGGCAAAATTCTGGAGAGTTGGAAGCTCTGTTATAAACAAAATGGTTTTTATCAAAAATTCGGACATATAAAACAAGGTCGGACTTTAGACAGGATTATTGTTTGAAAAAATATTTTTTTATTTTTATTTTTAATCTTAAATATCATTAATCCTAAAATAAATACACATCTTGCTTCAAAAAATAAATACACATCTTGCTTCAAAAAAATAAATCTTATAAAACAACAATAAATCAAAATCAAATATCACATCTTTAGTGTGCTATAGTGCAAATATAAATTTAGATTAGGCATTTTCATTCAATAGTTTCATTATAAAAAATGCAAAATTTTCCTTGTCCATTTATAGAGTGAAATGCTGAAGAAAGATAAAAGCGTCCTTTCACCTTTCTTCAGAAAATTTAAAACGTGTTTTTATTTTCTCGCACAATTATTACAATGTGTAAGTTAAATTTTTTCAACATTTTATTCCAAAGAAAAATGTAAAGAAAAAGAAAGGTTTTGTGTATAGTATAATAATATTCTCATAGTAGGTAAATATTATTCCCATCGCAAACACTTAATTTGGTACAAAACTATTTGATTAAATTGAAACTAATTTTTTTATATTTAAACAAATAATAATTTTGGAAATATTATAATTATGATCATCTGGAAAATAATTTTAAAAAAAAATATTCATAAATAAGTTGACCTTATCTAAAACACTCTAAAACTTATTCAAAATGTGTAAAAATAAATAAGTTTTTTTAAGTTATATTGCTTTATTGCCACATTGTTAATAAAAAACAAGATTTTGTTTTATACTGCATTTTAGAGTTTCATGGAAGAATCAAAACGTAATTTCTTTACCATTGATTTTGATAAATTAGATCGTTTTTGAAAATAATTTAACCTTTTCCGATTAACATTACCACAAGTTTATTATTTGCCATGCTCTACAATAAGACAATTTACAAATGAACTTTCATATTTTCACAATTACGCATTATTATCTTTTATTTGAATGTTGATGTTTTATAATTTGGTAACATTTGTAAAATAGTTTTTTGTTTTATAAATTTATTGAAAACACTGACAATTCGAGTTTTGACACCATACACCATTCACCAGTAGGCGGCCCTGGTTTTGACACCATTCGAGACTACGTAACTGAATTTCAAAAATTAAAGTTAAATATTTTTTGGAGGGAAATAGTTGTCGTTTCTTATTTAATTGTATTTAATTATAATTAGTTTTATCTATTTCGTTAAAAACATGTTATTATTTCTAAAAAAGTTTCGTGTTCATGCTAACTTTCATTAGGCTTAATTTTTTTTATGTTTTCTTCAGAAGATTTAATAATCAAAATAAAAATAATAATGCGCATAATATATGATTTTTGTAAAAAACATACTACAACATGTATTTTTTTTCAATATAATTACTAGTGACACTATTGAGTGTTTATATATTATATATTATATTTTATTTATATATGTTTACATATTTTTTATTTAAAAGACGATTATATATAAAAACACGATTTTACCCTTGTACATTAGTACTCTTCAACCCCACCCTTTTTTTAGCTTTTCATTGAGGGCCTCGTAAACTAAACTCGCGTCGGGCCTCGCACTTGCTTGAAAAGCTGTTTTATCTTCTAATTTGGGCGTAGTAACTGATTTAGGAGCGTTTTTTGCTTTCCAAACTTGCAGACTAGAGATACCCTTTACATCCTTTTTGCACTGGCCTTATTTGTTTAATTTATCAGAAAATAGTTTATAACTATTTTCTGATAAATTAAACAAATAAGGTTTAAACAGTTTTCTACTTTATCTATGATCTAACCATCATGATTATATTTGTGCATTTTTACACCGTGATAAAAATTCGTGACATATTTCTGCTGTACAATTTTTTTTTTAAATTTGGAAATGAGTTACTTTTTGATAACTCATCCCCCATCTTTACAAACAGACAGCTGTGAGCCTATAATTACGCTACTGAGTTCCATACTAAAGTTGCAGAGCAGTTTAATACAACCTATGTTTAGAAATAGTATATATTAAAAATATTTTTGTATAAGTTAAGGTTAAAGTCGAATAAAACATACCGGTTTTTCCGACGCCAGGTGATCCAAGCACAACAATTCGTATTGGTTCTTTTTCTCTACGAAAAACAATATTCTTCAGCTTTTCAAAGCTCTCTTCCATATTTTTAGTTCAGCAGACAAAATGTATTTTTTTGTATCTAATCTATAATATAAACTATAACTTTGAATAAAGTTCATTATTGAATGATCTTCAAATTTTTCTAACATTATGTTGAAAAATTCCAATGAAAGAATTAATTAAAATTTAAAAAAATCTTTGACCAGCCTTTAATATATATATATATATATATATATATATATATATATATATATATATATATATATATATATACATATACATATACATATATATATATATATATATATATATATATATATATATATATATATATATATATATATACATATACATATACATATATATATATATATATATATATATATATATATATATATATATATATATATATATATATATATATATATATATATATATATATATATATATATATACATATATATACATATATATATATATATATATATATATATATATATATATATATACATATATATATATATATATATATATATATATATATATATATATATATATATATATATATATATATATATATATATATATATATATATATATATATATATATATATATATATATAAAGAGAGAGAGAGAGAGAGAGAGAGAGAGGCGATTCTAGAAACAAATTAAGGGGAGAAAAAGACTGCCTTCTAAAAATAGGATTCAAATACTTTAGCTGTTAAAACAATCATATGTCGAAAATGTAGCACAACCATTGTTTATCATTTTAGTGTAAGAACGTATTTTAGTGTAAGAACGTATTTTAGCGTAAGTACGTAGTGGTAAAAAAAACCTTTTTAAAAATTATTTTGCATAACAAAGATATTAAAAGCCAAATCCAAATATTTCATTGATTTTTTTCTAACATTTATTTAAAATAAATCCAGATTTAGATTGGATTTTCGTCATATAATCTCGTTTTGTAAAATATATAAAACCTATTAAAGCCTCAATTAACGCGGAGCTTTGAACTTTGGTGTAATTATCAAAATCTCTAAAATAAAAACACTACTCTTAAAACGAGCTAAAAAAATCAACTTTATTGAAATAATCATTATTCGATAAAACAATCTTCTATTTATAAATGTTACCGTTAGTATTTATAATTGCATTTTGTCATTAATTAGTTGTTAAAATAATTTTAATTGTGTTCCGATAAAAACCACAAATTTATTTCTTTATTTAAATAATAATTTTTCTTAAAAAAGTTTTGATTGACAACTATTTTTTGCGCTTAAGTAAATATTTCGTTTTTCAACTACGCGATTATTTGCTTTACTTTTTTTACCATTTAAGGAAAATTTGTTTTACAACAATTCAATAATTTGATAAAACCTCCTTAATTTCAGTAAAGCACAGCTGCAAGTAAACAAATAAAAAAACTCCATACAAAATCACTATCGCAACAATTATGGCGCCTGCACACACAAAAAAATTAATAATCGCGATTTTTCTTGTAGCTCCCACCATGCCAGATAAACTTATCATGGGTTAATTTAAGAACTATAAAATTCAGTTAGTATGGTAAAACCGTTTAGTGGTAATTTAATAATTTAGAAAATACAAAATTGACCAAAGTTAAAACTATAAAAGTAAAATTTATATAACTATATATAGTAAGAACAGACTCTGAAATCTGTTTACTCTGCAAATCGATATATATATATATATATATATATATATATATATATATATATATATATATATATATATATACATATATATATATATATATATATATATATATATATATATATATATATATATATATATTTATATATATATATATATATATACATATATAATCGATATATATATATATATACATATATAATCGATATATATATATATATATATATATATATATATATATATATATATATATATATATATATATATATATATATATATATATATAATCGATATATATATATATATATATATCGATTATATATATATATCGATTATATATATATATATATATATATATATATATATATATATATATATATATATATATATATATATATATATATATATATATATATATATATATATATATATATATACTGGGGTGGATCCAGAATTTTTTGGTGTTTGAGATAGCTAACTTCCAGACATGTAGCTAACTTCAAACATTTATATGTTTATACTTATATCAAATAAGGATGGTTTGCAAAAAATTGTGATGATTGGAGCCTGGGAACAAAAAAGCCCCAAAATTTGAGACGTACCTGCCCCAAACGTGAGAGCAACAAGTAGATAAAATATTTTTTGTACTATTCTCAACAAGAATTATATTTATCAATAAATATAAAATTTCATAGTAAAATATTTTAGCGCTCAAAAATTATGACCATATAAAAATTGTAATCCCCTCGAATTGAGGGGGATTCAAACTTTACATGGTCATAATTTTTGAACGCTAAAATATTTTACAATGAAATTTAAAATTTATTGATAAATATAAGTCTTGTTGAGAATAGTACAAAAAATATTTTATCAACTTGTTGCTCTCACGTTTGGGGCAGGTACGTCTCAAATTTTGGGGCTTTTTTGTTCCCAGGCTCCAATCATCACAATTTTTTGCAAACCATCCTTATTTGATATAAGTATAAACATATAAATGTTTGGAGTTTGCTCCATGTCTGGAAGTTAGCTATCTCAAACACCAAAAAATGCCAGATCCGCGCCTGTATATATATATATATATATATATATATATATATATATATATATATATATATATATATATATCGATTATATATATATATATATATATATATATATATATATATATATATATATATATATATATATATATATATATATATATATATATATGTATATCGATTATATATATATATATATATATATATATATATATATATATATATATATATATATATATATATATATATATATATATATATATATATATGTATATCGATTATATATATATATATATATATATATATATATATATATATATATATATATATATATATATATATATATATATATATATATATATATATATATATATATAAATATATATATATATATATATATATATATATATATATATATATATATATATATATATATATATATATAAATATATATATATATATATATATATATATATATATATATATATATTATATATATATATATATATATATATATATATATATACGTAAGTGTATATATATAAAGTAATAAAGAAAAGATCTTATATTATCATGTATAATATTGTATACTTAAAAGAGTGCTCAATAGATAAACTAGAACTATATAGTGTATATGTTACTGGTACCCGCAGAACCAGGAATTAACTAAATGCTAATGTTTATAATATAGTTTAATATTGCAACTCTGAGCTTCATGTGTTAACACAATCATCAGGCAAGTAGCAAAAGTTTAATTTTGCTACCGTACTACTTGCCTGATGATTGTAGTAACACAATGTTTAACACAATATGTTTATCTAATCTCGCATATTTTTTACTAAAAAATGAGAAATGGTATGCCTAAAATATGATAATAAAATAACAACAATATGACGCCTTCATTGCAAGTTATGAATAGATTTTTGACCTTTAGGTATTTCTTGCAACACGGATAAATTAAAAAAGCGAACATAATGAAAAATTATGATCAGAATCTCTTAAAGTTTTTAAATTTCTTTCTTTATGAGTAATACTATGTTCTGAGTGAGCCAGAAACAAAAAATTAATTTTCAAACACGCCAGGTTGTCTTGTAAACTAAATTTGAAAAATATGTATATTTTCATATAAAAATAGCACTGCTTGCCTTGTTTTTATTAAATTTTAAAAAGTGCTTTTAAAAATTTTTTTTTCAAGTCTGGTTAAAACCTGATAAAAAAATGCTATACTAGCGCCTCTCCATCTTCAAGTATATTTTTATCATTAGGACTTTTTCTGTTAGCAAGAAGTTTTTTTGTCTTTGTTTTACTGATCAACTTTTTCTCGAATTGTTTGATCCGCTGAATGCCAGGTTTTTAAATACTTATTTAGAAAAGTTTTAACTATCTATAACTAGCTGGATTAAAAATTGGCAGCAGTCTTTTGGCACTATCATTATGGTTTGGGCACCATCATTACATTCAAATTGAAACGAACTCTGGACACATTTTTGAGATCCAGGTTCAAAACGAATTCTAGACATATTTTCACGTCACGTTAACAAAGGAGGCGTAAACTTCCTATTTAAATGCACTTCCGTGGTGTTTTGTGACAAAACCGTTAGGTCTTTTTGGGACACCTAAATAACAAAATAAAAAAAAAATTAAAATTTTTTTTTTTCACTTGTGACCACTTTAATGAAACTTGAAAAATTTTTCTAGTCTGGAAAATTTACGGAATTCGCGCATTTGTAAGGACAGAAAAAACTTCTTGGCAATCACTTTTTTTCCTGTTAATTCAAAATATAGCACTAACTAGAGAATTTATTCTTTAAATGATAACTCAGTGGGCACAGAATTTCCGCTGGACGTCTTGAGGACGTCTTACGAACTTATGACGTCCATAGAACGTCTTACAGACGTCTGTGTCCGCTGTGAACATATGTAAATCAAACAACTACTACGCGAAGCCTTGGAAGCTTTGAGGTACTTTTTTCCGAGGTGTTGATTAAACATCCCTGCATGTGTATTTGGCCCCAAAATCTTCAACGTTTTTTCCAAGTCCTTCGGTACTTATTGTAACTTTTTGCTAAATTTAGATTTATTTTACGATGAATTTATATAAATAAAAGAAATCTAACAAAAAATTTTTACAAAGTAGACACGGAAAAAAAAGTTGTAGACTTTTTGTGCCAAATAAACGTTTCCACAGTATATATCTCAAATTGTATATTTATTATAAAACTCGCCCTTTAGACAACAACAGTTAAACAACACAAATTTGATTAAAATTGGTACCGAACGTACCACTTCCAAGATTTAAATTAAATAAAAGACAGTTTTTTTTTCTTAAACTGCTACTTTTTTTTATTGAATCGTTAAGTACACAGGATAGAGTCATGATTGGAATAACACATCGGGAAAATGTCCTCCACAATTTCGCTTGCACATAACCACTAATTTTTTTAAAATTCCCATGATTTTTTAGCATCAATATGTTTCAAATTCGTTGATGCAGCATTGAATTTCCTCCTTCAATCCATGCGTGATTGTGAGCTAGATACGATAGACCTTTGTCTTCAAGTAATCGCATAAAAAAAAAATTCAATTGTGTCAAATCACACGATCTAATTAATCACTATTCCGACCATACTTTGTAGAAAAGTTTATACCTGTTGCTGCCAAACTTTTGTTATGCTTCAAATATTGTTTGACAATGAAAATATATTTTTCTATCATGTAACGCTCCGTTTGTACTAACCATAAACTATCAGCTTTCAAATTGTTCTTTTTTTAGGGTTGCCAACAGTCTACTACAAAAATGGTGGCAAATTTAAATCTATTTTCCGTATTTTACCAGTTGAAAAATTTTGAAATTTATTTTGTCCGTATACCCCTCCGTGTCCGTATACCCCCTATAAAATATTTGTTTTATTTTGAGGTGCTAAATAAATCCCACGTGATTTTTTTTAATGTTAAATTTAAAGCTCTTTTTTTATAATGTGGATGATTATAAAAGAATTTTAAATTTAACAATAAAAAAATTGTAAAAGTTCAGAGGACTTGGAAAAATTGTGAGGATTTTTGGTGTTTACCGAATGAATTTATTTTGGTGTTTGCCGAATAAACGTGCCCGCAAAAGAGCGGGAACGATTATTCGGCACCACAGAGTAAACTTTTTAATGCCTTCACTAATTAGTAAAGATTGACGCACTTTTTTATTTTTCTAAAATATAAAAAATTTATTTAGCTATTCTTTTTATTTGAAGTTTAATTTTTGTTATAGTTTTTTTCTTCCATTTTTTAATAGTGTATTACTTGAAACAAGTGCGTTGCGGTATGTTAAATCGATGTCCTACCGCGAACTGACAGCTTTAAGAAAATTCTCTAAAAATATTAAAAAAATCTTATCAGATTATTTCTTAAAAAAAATAAGCTAATTATTGTAGTAATTGCTAGAATAGTTTGTTTATCAAATGTCAAAACATGGTTTTATTTTTCATTAATTACTTTCTTTTTTAAAATCATTTAACTAATATACGTAAACAGGCAGTTATATCCCAATTAGTATTGTTAAAACTTTGTTAATTTGTTTTATTGCGTAACAAAATGTTTTATGATTTCATTTATTACGTAATACACTCAATATAAGATATTACAAAAACAAAAAAATTATTTTTTTTAAAAGTAATTTCAATCAAACTAACGAGAGATCAAAACTAAGTGATCGTCACTCGAGTCATAAATACGTAAAGCACGATGAATACGTAAAACACATATAATTTCATCTAAACCTTCACTTAAGTTCATATTGCGTTTTTTAATTGTTTTGACCTAGCAGTGTTTATTTAATTGCAGTGTCTAAGTAGAGGGGCGACTGAAGAAGTTCGAATTTCAAAAGTGCGAACTGGCGTAAGTGCAAAATGAAGTTGCAAAACCTGGAATAAGTGCAAACTAGCATTAGTGTGAAAAAGAAACATTGGCATAAGTGCGAATCGGCATAAGTGCAAACTGTCATAAGTGTACTAAAAGAATTTGCAAACGTTTGCATAAGTGTAAATTGGAATAAGTGCGAACTGCATAAGTGCAAAGCAGTTGCAAAAACTGGCACAAGTGCAAACTGGTATAGGTGCAAATTGGCATAGGGGCGTTAAAAGAATTTGCAAAAATTAGCATAACTGTAAACTGGCAAAATTGCGAAGCATAAATTAGCATATGTGCGCTTAAGAAATTTGCAAAAACTGGCATAAGTGCGCGAAAAGAGCTTGACCCGACGAGTCAGTCCAGCCCGATGCATTGACTGATTGGTAGAGTCACAGCAAACTGTTATAAGAGCATTTTCATAATAATTTTTTTAATTTATGTTTATCTTAAACTTAGATTTAAAATTGTAATTAATATAAAAAATAACAAAAATATAAATAACAAAAATGAGAAATGAGGCAATTCAACCTGCATAATTATATTGGTATTACGTTACTTGCTGTGAAAACACAGCACAAATTTTGTTTTTATGATCAAAAACAGTAACTTCAGAATGCGTTTCTGCAGTTTTAATTCTTTATTTTATTTAAGGTTATGATAAATAATACAAACTCTATAGAAATGAATTTTTCATGCTGTTCATCTACATGTCTTGTTCATTTATTGGAATAGTTATTTTAATGTTAAGTTTAAAAAAAAACTATTTTATGAAGGGCATTGAAAGATTGAACATGTAGGCATCAGGTATGTCAACATTGGACTTGAACTTTTTCGAAAAAAAAACAACAACCCAAAAATATTAGCTACTAAATGATCAAAATAAATAAGGGCATTCAGTAGTGTTGAGAGTTGATTGCCTACAATAAGATCCTTTTACTTATTTTAAATGGGAACAATGGAAACTAAAAGATCCGTCTTTTAAGCGACTTTTAAACGTTTTGATCGTCTTTTGAACGTCATCCGAACGTCATCTGAACATTTAAACGGGAAGTCTTCCATTTTAATTTAGATTGTTTTTTTCTGTTTTAGCAAAAGACCACCTGACTAATGATGTCAATTGTATTAAAAAAAAAGAAAATATTATTCGAATAAAAAAAAATGAACTTTTTTTAATTTAGATTTTTTTCTTCTGTTTTAGCAAAGACCTTGGTTTTTAAGTCAAAGAGACTTGGTTCCTAAATCAAGGAGAATTGGTTCCCAACTCAAGGGACTTGGAAACCAATTCTAATTTTGGCAAATTTTTTTTTTATCTTTTATAAAATATTAGGAACGTTCATTGTTTTTTTATTTTTTTAACTTAATGACATTAGAAAATTAAAAAAAATTCATTTTTTTTATTCGAATTTATATATATATACTTTTTTTTAATACAATTGAAATCATTTAGTTAGGTGGTCTTTTGCTAAAACAGAAAAAACAATCTAACTAAAATGGAAAACTTAGAATTAGTCATATATTTAGAAACTGTTATCTTTTTTCCACCCTTATAATCAAACTAAAAGATGAAATTTATAGTTATTGATAGACCTTATTATTCTGCTATGGTAAAGTAGTTGATGTTAAGAAAAAATAATAAAAAGTTAAGAACTTTAGAAATTGGTCAACTATATTTTGGAAAAAAAAGCTAATTTTCTATATATTAAAAGAAAAAAGTTAATTTTTCTACCTTTGCTTACAATCGCTATTGAATTTTTATAAATTTATTTTTTAATCACTCATTCAACTCAAAAACTATTAAAAACTCTTGCAATTCACTTTTAACAGAACAAAAAGCCTATCCTCATTATAAAGTTCCTATAAAAAAAGCAAAAATAGATGACAAAAGGCTGTTCATAACAATAGAGTTTGAACATTTTTATGGAGATATCCACCCAGCCTAAAAAGAGCTCAGTCAAGCATTTAAATAAAATATATGTTTTTAGAACAATTTTTTTTTTAATTTTAGTTTAACTTTAGATAAAATCAATTAGATTTTTGTGATAAGGGTTGTTCAAGAGTTTTTCAGTACTCTTTGACCCCCCCCCCCCTTCGCCCAAACACTTAATAAAAAATGGCTGGTTAGCGAATGAAAACATGTATTTGCAAAAAGGGCATAAAAAGTTTTCTGAAGCTTGATTTCCAAATTATTGTAGAAATATTGCACGAAAGTTGCACGACAACTTTGCTTTATAATATAATTATTTTTAACGTATGTTGCTTAACTTAACGTCGTACAACAAAATCTGTTGTAAAACAATGGTTGCGGAAAGAAAAACAAATCAATTTATGCAACAAATGTAGTTCAACAATATCAGACAACTGTTGTACAATATCTCTACAACTATTGGAAATCAAGCTTAAAGTTTTATAAAAACTATTTCCAATAGTTGTCGTTTAAGTTATGCAAGAAAAATTTCTTTTTTTTTAATTTTTTTTTTTTTTTTTTAATTTTTTTTTTTATTATTATGAAACAAAGTTGTTCGGCAACTTATCATCGACATTTTTATAAGTATTAGAAACCTAGTTTCAGAAAACTTTTAATCTAGCTTTAAATATAAGCAATATTAAACATTTTACTTAAACAAAATCTTGTTAATTTATAAAAAATATTGTTTTTTGTTAATAAAATAATAAATGATAACAAAAAATCATAAACTGATTAAAGTTATTAATTATTTAATCATTAAAAATTTTACATTACAAATAAAAAAAGTATGAAGATGTCACATTATAAAAATAAGAATAATCATACCTTTAAAATATGCCTCTAAATAGTCAAAGAAACTCAATCACTTATCTTCATTTATCTAAAAAAACGTAACTGAATAGTAAATTGAATGAACACACTTTAACAAGTTAACTAATCTGACATCTTGTTCAACCACTGTACGTTGCAATAAGTCGCAAACAACAAACGTGCAATTACTTAAAACACGTTTTTATTTGTTTGAAACTAAGTATCAATTTAAAACAGGTTTATAAGCTTGATTAATTGATTAAGTTGCCTTTATATTTTTTTATGAGAAACAAAAAAGTTTGAAAATAAACAAATAACGCAATAGTTTTTTATTAATTAAAAAAAAAAGATATTCATCGTTCTTTTTTAAAAAAGTCATGTATACATCGAATTAATTGACGGGAAATCGATCACTTGACGCACCACAAGCATTGCTATTGTCTCAGAATAGATTAGCAAACGCGTATTAATGTTTTTTAGTTGTAAAAACAATAATTAACCGCTTTAGAAAAAAGCAATATCCAATATAGAGGCATTTTCACATCTTTTAAGTTGAAATTATATTAGAATTGAACTATAAAAGAATTGGCGTCATTCGATGCGCTCTTGATGTCACGGTATATCAATTGAGCATTAAAATGTTTGACTTATTTTTCACGCATAAAGATTAAATAAGTTTCTATCGTGGTCTAACAGCCACTTTAGATTAAATAACTTTCGTATCGAGGCTTCCGTAGATACAAAACTTTTCCAAAAGGAGAGAGGAACTTATTTGACATTCTTAACGTGTTTTGTATGTTTAGTACGTAAAGTAAACTCATTAAAGGAAATGTCGAAAAAAACAATAATACTATAATTGGCCATAATTAAACACATAAACTGTGTTTATTTTAAAAAAAGGATTTAATAAAAAATGATACGTAAAAAATTAGAATAGCATACGTGTATATGTTTGCATGCATCTGCGATTGTAACACGAGACCACACGTGCGTATTCATTTAGTAAATAAGTAGTTATACGACGAGAATAGCATTTTAGAAATTTTTCCTTCATAACGCAATATGTTTTTCCTTTATAACGCATAAAAAACTTTTGGAATTAATTAATTCTGATAAACACTCTATAGTGTCTGACTTTAAAAAAAAAAAAAAGATTAGTAGATAACCTTATATAGATAACACCCTTAGTATAATTTCCGAAATCGTTCCGATTCAATAAGAAAGATCAATAACAATGATGGCAAATTATGGATAAAGTTTTAGATATGACGCAATGACAATTTCAACCGTCAAATTGTCATGTATTTTTTAAGTTTTAAAGAATTTTACCTTGAATAAAATAAAGTAAAAAAAAATATTTCATAAGTTTGAATGAATATTATAACAATTTTAATTTTTCTTACTTTATTTATATAAAGACCAATGTTTAAAATCAAAAAACTGTATACTAAATATAAGTATATTAAATGTTAAATTATTGAACAAAAAAATATTTTTTTTGGTTGCTACCTAAAATATTATTTTTATATTTAAATAGTGACGCTGTAGGCGTTAGAGCTATTCATTCGCCAATTTTTCAGTGCATTTCCTTACTTAGAGAAAAGCCAACGATGGTTCTCTCGTTAATATTATTTAATATCATAGCGTTAATATCATAGCATTTAATTAACGATTTTATATTTCAAGAATTTACTTTTATCGGTGTTTCATTCAGATAAATTAGGTGTTTGATTTTTATAAAGTAAAAACTATTTATCCATTTGAGAATTTTTTTTTTTCTAAGTTAATAAAAAATTTATTAACCAGTTGCATAGCTTTTCCATCATGACACATTTCATTAATAAGCACATTATTAAAAGTAGCCATTGAGCAGTGGTTTGAGCCTTGCTTCAAAATCAAGAAGTCCGTCATTCAATGTCAGATTTTTGGCATATAGGATCAACGGTAAGGAAATAGGCGTGAACTTCCTAGTTAAGCGTTTTTTTCGGCGGTGCTATTTGACAAGATCGTATGTTCTTGATAAAGCTCCTTAGTTAACAGATTAAAAAAAACACATCAGCAAACATTTAATATCACAAATAGCTCAAATTTGTTTCTCTGTTAGGTGAATTGCTAATTTCTTATGATCTCATTTTTTTAATACTCTCTGTACCAAAACTAATCTAAGCAACAAGTTGACTTATACGATCGGCATGCTGCTTATCATCCGACGTCAAGTTTACGTTGTTTAGAGAGCATTTTTTTAATCTAAATTTTAGAATTACGTCATTTTGACATCAGATTTGGGTCTAGTTTATGACATCACAAGAAACAGAGTTGACACGCGATTGTTGATTTGTCTCATAACTTACACATCATTGTACGTTTAACCAACACAATCATTTGAATCTATTTTGCAAAACTTTACCACCTAAATGTTTCTTTGATATATATATATATATATATATATATATATATATATATATATATATATATATATATATATATATATATATATATATATATATATATATATATATATATATATATATATATATATATATATATCATTATATATTAGTTAAATGCACTTCCACGCATTTAACTGATATATAATTAATTGATATATATTTAATTGATATATCTTCCAATATATATATATATCAATATATATTAGTTAAATGCACTTCCGCGGTGCTCTGTGACAAGACCGTTAGGTCTTCTTGGGGCACCTATATAACTATATATCATTGACATTTCTATAATTATTAGAAACCTAGTTTCAGAAAACTTTTAATCTAGCATAAATATAAGCAATATTAAACATTATACTTAAACAAAATCTTGTTAGTTTGTAAAAAATATTGTTTTTTGTTTATTAAAGTTTATAAAATAATAAATGATAACAAAAAATCATAAACTGATTAAAGTTATTAATTATTTAATCATTAAAAATTTTACATTAACTTTATAGAAATTCTATATAAATTCTATAGAATTTCTATAGGCCATATGTTTCAAAAGTTAATAGAAAATTCTATAGAACTTTTTTTTCTTCTTGTTGGGAGGTGTTGATATCAAGAAACATGTATATATATACATATATATATATATATATATATATATATATATATATATATATATATATATATATATATATATATATATATATATATATATATAATTTTTTTTTTTACAAACTTTAATTATTTACATCTAACAATTAAAAAAAAAATTTTAATTTCATTTATTTTTTTGGCATAAATTAGTACATTTTGATGAAAAACCCTAGCAAACTATAAACCTAATAACTCGAGAAAATCTTGTTCATTTTAAAAGAAACTTAACAATGTTCTCTATGCATACTGTACAAAAGAATGAGCGAAAAAAATTAAATTAATAAAACTAATACAAGTTTTTGATTAATTTTTATGAAAATTTTGTTAAAAGTTGTTCTTTTTTCATTTTTTTTCATTTTAGTAAAACAGTCATATAAATGTAGAACAAGATAAAAAAGGAAAATTCCAAGTGTCATAAAAACAATTTTAAAAATAAACTATCGTTTAAAAGCTGCGTATTCCATTCTAGTTGAAAAGAAGTCAACCAAACTAACATCAATTGACTTTTCTTTTTTTTGTCCACCATTCTGGACAACAGAAAAAATCTTTAAAAAATAAACTTTTTTAATTACTAAGAATTTAAAGTTCATATTATTTTTATTGCAATAGGAAAAACTTGATTGTAAATATAGCGTTGCACTATGGCAAACAGTACTACTAAACGTATCATAAATGTTTTTTGCTCAAATTTCAATTTCACTCCAGAAATTATACTTAATAGTTCAAGACCGTAGACTTCTTTTTTTGATGTTTGAGCTAAGCAACTTTGAAACATGACGAAAATTCCATATTAAGTTTTTTTTTTTAATTCCATATTTAAATATGTTCATATATATGAGGAATGAGGATGCTATGCAAAAAACTGCGGTGATTGGAGACTGGGAACAACAAAAAATCCACAACGTTAGCCCCCTCCCCAGCCCCAAATAGGAGGGTAATAAGTCAAATTTGTTATTATTTTTTTCAATCTTAAACTTAATTTATATTCATCGACGAATTTCAAATTTGATTCAATAATCTTTTGTTGATCGGCATTTATGACCTTAAAAAGTTTACGACCCCCTCAATTTGAGGGGGTGTTTCCAGTCTCCAATCACAGCAATTTTTTGCATAGCATCCTCATTCCTCACATATATGAACATACTTAAATATGGAGTTTTCTTCATGTTTCAAAGTTGCTTAGCTCAAACATCAAAAAAAGTTGTCTACTAGTTTAATAGTTAATCTTTACTATAATGTAGGAATTTCAGCTATTTTTATGTAAAAAGATATTTTTTGAATCTCAACTGTATCATATTTTTGTAAATGCTTAAGTGAAACTTATTTGTTTCATCACTTTAAAAGTTATTTTCTATAAAACTTTTTATGAATAAGTATAAAGTGTTATACATCATGTAATAGAGATTTTAGAACAAATTCATATTTTTAATTATATGGTTTTTTTTAATAATAATTAATTGAACTATAAAATGAGTTTGAAAATAAAAGTTCTTAAAGTTCACCGATATTTTTAGCAATCACTCATGCTTCCCCACGCTTTATTTTTATAATTGATTTGTAGCTTAGGTGTCTATAAAATTAATTAATTAAAAATCAGGTGCGGAAACGTGCGGTTTCCAAAATTATAGATTTTATTTGTTTTTGTTTTTTTTTAGGTGCCCCAAGAAGTCCTAACGGTCTTGCCGCAGAGCACCGCGGAAGTGCATTTAATCAGGAAGTTCACGCCTCCTTCCTTACCGTGACGCAAAATATGTCCAAAGCTCGTTTCTAACTTGGATTTCCTGTTTATAAAGGAAAAGCTCTAACCACTGCGCCACTGTCACAAAAGATAAAAAAGTGTTAAAAGTCAGAAAATAAAAAACCGTGGTTTCAGGCTATAACTGTTTATAACAATAGTTTTGCGCAATTTGTTTTGTCAATTTTTTATTGATAATTAATTTTGATGGACATGCATTCTATTATTGGTATTATTATTAGTTGTTGTAGATGAAATAAAAAGCCAAATATACTTTTTACGGCCATCTATAATTAACAAATGTTATAAAGGAATACAAGTAAAACATGAACTTTTTTAAAAAATGGTAGATTGAAAAGTGGTTCAGGTATTAACGGATACGTCTTCTTCCTTTACTTGTGGAGCTACTCCACGATAAATGAACTATTTGACAAAAGTGTCTGCTAGGCCCAAAAATGAAAGTTTGTATCAAAAAGGACTGTTGACATTACATACTTGGGTTCTGAGTATAGAAATGATATTACATATTTCCTACAACCTGTTTTTCCAAACATGGTCAGCTAAAAATGAAGAAAAAAAAAATGAAAAAAGAGAGAGAGAAGAAGGCCTTGATACAGAAACGTTTTCGTTAGTAGCTAGGGTTAATCGTTGACAAACCGAAACAAGAAAATGGTAATTCTCAGCATTATGAAACCGTACAGCAAAAAGGTCCAAGAACTTGATGAAGATACGTTGCAGCTTTTGAACGTTGATCTATAATTTTTTCCATAAAAACTCACTGTACAAAAATTGTTGTTAAAAAATTATTTTGAATATTTCTATAAGCATTTTATTAAATCTTAAAAATATTCATGTAAATATATGAAATGTAAATCAATTAATTACACGCAACAATTAATAAAGCAATTAATATAGGGAATTACCCTATTATAGGAAAAATGTTTGTTAAAAAGGTTAGAAAGTACGTGTTTGTTTTCTGTATTTTTATTTACAAATTATATATTAAATTTTTTTTTTTATAAAAAATATTTCCTTTGAAGCGTCCTATACTACTTTATATTTGTGCAAATTATCAACACTTAATCTTTAGTAACAAAAAAGTTATTGATTTTTGATCCAAAACAAATCTTTATTTTCCACAGTGCGTTGGACTCATTAGTTTATGTACCTAACTAAAAGGTTAAATATCACAAAAAATATAGAACAAAACTAAAACTTTTTTCAAAAAACCAAAATAAAATAAATTACTTAAAAAAGAAAAAAATTAAAAAAAAATTTTTTAATGTACTTTTTTTTGGTGATGAACCAAAAACAAAACAATAATAAATTAATTAAATAATATATATATTTTCGCTAGGTTATGTATACCAGTATCATCAGCTTGTAAACTATTATTCTTTATAAAATATCTTTTACAAGATGATGCTTCATAACCCATAAAATTGTTAGTATTGAGAGAAACTGTATTTCTTGATGTTTTTTGTATATATATATATATATATATATATATATATATATATATATATATATATATATATATATATATATATATATATATATATATATATATATATATATATATATATATATATATATATATAATGAGCAGTCGTGGCGCAGTGGAACCCAGAGGTCCGAGGTTCGACGCCAGCCCTAGCCCAACAAGCGACATTGGTACAGAAGGAGCCGTGAACTTTCTGTTAAATGCTCACCCGCGGTGCTCTATGATAAGACCGTAAGGACTTCTGGGAGCACTTAAATACATACAATAAAAATATATATATATATATATATATATATATATATATATATATATATATATATATATATATATATATATATATATATATATATATATATATATATATATAAGTGAAAACACTTTTCTAATTTTTCTCTTCAACAGCTTGTTTCACCATAGGTAGATTCTTCAGGAAGCTTCCAAATGAACTTATTGAATTTAAGTTGTTGAAGAAAATTTTTTTATAAGTGTTTTTACTAATTTATTATTGCTCTGTTCTTTAAGAACATTGAGCACTCTATCTGGAGAATACAGTAACATAATTTATTTATATATATATACATATATATATATATATATATATACATATATATATATACATATGTATATATATATATATATATATATATATATATACATATATATATATATATATATATATATATATATATATATATAAATATATATACAGCACTGCCCTGCTTATCAAATAGACAGTAACCACAAAATTTCTATTTTGAGATATTTTTAAAAAACAAAAAACGTATTTAGTCAACCAGTCAGCTTAGTACATTTCAGAAACTTTTAATATCAATTGATTTAATATCAAAAGAGCTTTCCTGAGGTTTTAATGATTTTTTAACTTTTATATTTAATTATCACAATTTAGCACATACAGTTTTTTTTTGCTATGTATTAAAAGTATTTATTAATTTGTTAGCATGTTTTAGGTAACAAAGAAAACGAATCGGTCTATTTTGCTCCCTACCATGAGAGAATATGTTATATAATTTAATGTAAAAAATTATGCTAAATAAAATTCAAGATAATTATGAGAATAACTTAAATTTTATTTTCTGCCCAAAGTTTAGCATAACTTTTTATTTAGAATTTAAGCAAACCCAAGTTAATGAAGTATTTTCCGGTGCTAAGTTATTTTTTCATGGGGGGACGGGTAGTGGTTTTGTGACGACTCATACAAGACTTGTTACTAAAGTGTTACGATGTGACAAGGGGAGGGTCAAAAACGATCAAAAATTGCGTGACTTTGTTAATGGACGACCCATAAAGTTAAGAAGGTCATGTCTTTAAATGTCGAATTCTCACTATCTTTTTTTTTCATCGTTTTAACATTATTCTTAAATACTTTTATTTGGATAAAATTTTGATATAATAACTGGTTATAATAAAGCTAATAATAATTGATTATTATATAATTATAAGGTGACAATCATTTTTCTTTTCTTTTTAAATGTATTTATAATTATTTTTTTGACACTGTTGTTTTTTTACAAAAACAATAAAAATGTATTTACATGTTTCATGAATAAAAAAATACACATAATGTTATCGATTTTAAAATCAGATGTGATGATAAAATCGGATAATGTAAACGTAATGTTATTGATTTTAAATTCGGGTTAAACTTGTTGCAAAAGCAAAATATCTCGTTTTTAAGTTAAAAAATAGATAAACATGTAAACAATATTGAATTGCATCAGTTAAATTAAAATCATCTCTTCCAGGATCTTTCTTCGTCTTCATCTTCATCATCATCATCATCATCATCATCACCATCATCGTCATCATCGACGGCCAAAAGCATTTCTTCGTCATCTTTATCTAACTCGAGCTACAGTAAAATAAATTGTTCAAGAAAATGCAATTCAAATAATTTTTAATTTTTCATTCTTGTAATAAAGGAAAAATAAAAGTAGAATTAAGAAAAATTTATAAAATATAAGTATTAAAATATAAAAATTCATAAATATTTTACATTTATTACGCCAAAAACATTTCTGTTTTATTATTATTGTCATTAGCATTGTGCACTATTAAAGGTATATGTATGTATGTATGTATGTATGTATGTATGTATGTATGTATGTATGTATGTATGTATGTATGTATGTATGTATGTATATTCATTTTTTATGCTGTTAAATCTAACTTATTTTTATACATTATGGTTATCATTTTTAAAACTGTCATATAATTTTGCTTTATTTGAGACCCAGCGTGATACACTTTTGAAGATTTTTTTTGTTGTTGATAATTTTAGGAACTCCTAATATGTTCAAGAGTAAGATGATAACTTTTTTAAAATCTTGTATGGTCATGGTGCCACACAATGGTGCAACACCATGGTGCCACACAATGAGTTTTAACTAAAAATAAATGATATATCTTAATTATAATAAAAAATTAAAAAACTTCCTCCATAAAGCAAAAAAAAGTTTTTGATGATTTTAGGCCTTTTCAATATAAAGTCATGTATTTATAATAAATTATAACAAATATTGGATCTTGCAGTGTTGATAACAGTTTCTTGATTACACCAGTGTCTTAAAAAAGATTTTTTTGCTTTTTCATACAAGTTAACTGCAGCTAATAACCTTCATAGTTTGTTCTATTATAATAGTGATCGGAAAACCAGATATTCATCGTCCATAAATTGTCACGCTCTGGGGGAGGGGGGTTTGTAGTGGTTTTGTGACGACTCATACAAGACTTGTTACTAAAGTGTTTCGATATTGTGATCAAGGGGGAGGGTCAAAAACGATAAAAAATTGCGTGACCTAATAAATGGATGACCCCTAAGGTTAAGAATGTCATCTCTTTAATTGTCGAGATATCTTCTCACTATCTTTTTTTTTTCGTTTTAACCTTCATTATTTTTAAATACTTTTATTTTGATAAAATTTTGATATTAATTGGTTATAATAATCCAATCACAAGTAATAAAATTGCATGCTGGTTGCAGTTGCTGCTGATGTTCTGGTAATAAAATAAATTCCATTGTAATGCTATAATTCCTCTTGAATTACTAATTTTTGGAAGAGCCTTAAAATTAGTTTTAGCAAAATCTTTTTTTTTCCACATAATATCTGTAATGATGCCCTAGCTCGAACTATTTTTAGCTCATACTATTTTTATATAAAAATGATAATAATTAGAGTAAATTACAGATTGCCACTTTTTTTTTTTGTGGAAAATGTCCACATGGACAATACAAATGTCTACCTGGTGACAAAAATACCTGGTGAATAATTGAATGAATAATTTAATGAACGAATAGTTGAACGAATAGCTAAATGAATAAATAACTTTTTGTTATTGCAAAAGCAAAGAAAAAAAAAAAAATAATAAAAATGCTTAAAGTATAAATATAAAAACATGAATATTAATGCATATAAACAATATATATAAAAGGGTGGGTCAAAACCATACTTTTTTTAAATTTTGACAAGCAGCACTATGTGGAGTTTTTCAATTGGTATAATAACCTTTTTAGACTAAATTTTTGTTTTTTACACACACCCCTAGGGGTGGCACCACACACCCTAATTTTTCCACAAAAAAAAAATTTAGTAAAAAAAATTTTTTTTTTTTTTTGTATATATTCTTTTAACAAAATAACTTAAAGTAAAAAAAAAATTGCTGCTCAATTTCAGAATTATTAACTTCATGACTTAAATAAAGTTTCAAAATATAATATCATGTCACCATAAGAACTTTTGCTATGCTACTATGTAATTTTTTAGTTTATTCTATTTGTTGCATTTTAGTCTCTATACATAGTATATTTAGTGTTTGTGTATATATTTGTCTTCTTTTTATTTGTTAGTAATTAAAAATAAAATATAACTAATAATAAGCAACACATTGCATCATGGCAACATTTCACACTCGCAGTAAAACTGATAACTTAACATTTGAACAAGGTTCTAAATTTCCAACTGCAATGGTTCTTACAAAAAGAGATGTTGCAAAATATTGATACTATGTTCGTAGAAATGACGATGCTAAAGCCAAAGGATCAAGTTCTGCTTATAAATGTTACAGATTAGTTACCACTGAAATTGAAAATATTTGGCATAAATTCAGTTTTCCAACAATCGAAACAGAGGGAGTATTCTCAAAAGTATGATTAATGGAAACAGCATCCAGTTTAAATGAAACTTCAAGACTTAGAAAAAATGTTAATTTTTATAACAAATTGAAAACTTTTGACAACATGTTTGATATATGTTCATGCAACTGTTATGATTTAAGAGTAGAAAAAGAGAAATGCAGATGTACTTCTAAAGTGCCAATAAAAAAATGGGATCCATTTGTTGCGCAAAAGAAACGCACAAATCAACTTAGACAACTTGATCGTGCCTACACATCTGCTTTAAAGAAAACTAAAACTAGAAAAAAAATTTTTTAACAAGGAAAAAACAATTAAATACACATAAAAATTATTGAGAAAGACATTGATAGACAAATTAATGATGACAATTTTTATGAATCTGAGAATAATATCATATTAGATGAATCTAATAATGAATATGACAAGCTTTACGAGTCTGATGTCTTAACAAAATGTAATCAAAATAGGTTTCATAACGATGAACTAACAATCATAGCAGATCGTTATCGTGTCAGTTACAGAGTAACTGCTGCTATTGTCAATGCTGCTCTAAAAGACATGGGTATACTAAATGAATCAAATATGCTTGATAGGAAAAAAGTAGAAAGAGAAAGATTTTGTGTATGAAAAAAATGTAAATGAAAGAAAATGCAAAAATTTGAAACTATAATGTATTGGTTTTGATGAAAGGAAAGACAATACAATAACAACTGCAGGGATAATTAAAGAAGAACATATTACAATTGTTAGAGAACCAAGCAGCAGATATATAGATCATCTAACCCTGATAATGGAACTTCTCGCTGCATTGCTAATGAAATTCTCCATTTAATATTTGAAACTGGCAGGAGCGGTTCTTTAAATGCTCTCTTATGTGATGCAACTGTAGTAAATACTGGAAAATTTGGAGGGGTGATAAAATTAATTGAAACAGAACTCAAAAGACCTATGCAGTGGCTCGTTTGTCAACTAAATTTCCCTTTAAACATGTATTTGAGTTGATTGATGGAAAAACTTCTGGCCCTGGATCATTTAAAGGTGAAATTGGTAAAAAAATAACAGAGGACTTAACGAATTTTGCAGTTTTTTAGTTTCTTTCAAAAAAATTAATGGTTCTTTTTATTTAATTCCAGATAATATCTTTAGTGAATTAAGGTCAGATCAAAAATATCTTTGCAGTATCTATTTATCTATTCAAACAGGAGATGTTTCAAATGAAACATCTAAAAATTCTCCCGGAAATCTTCATCATGCCCAATGGCTTACAAGAGCAAATCGCATTCTACGCTTATACATTTCTTCAGAAAAGCCAACAAAAGAACTTATTGACTCGGTTACAATAAGTATGAAATACTATGCACCAGGATGGTTCCAAATCAAATCAAATTATTTGGCAATCAATGGCGCTCAAAATTTTTGGTATCTTGCTCAATTAATTAAAAATGCAGTAATTGATGTAAAATACAAGGAGGTAATGGAGCAAGTTTTAAAGCAAAACTCATACTTTTTTAACCCAGAGATTATTTTATTGGCGATGATTAGTGATAAAAGAAAAAAAGTTAGAACTAAAGCAATTCAAAGGATACTTAAATCTACGAATACTAGCGAATTTAATAGATATTTTAAACTTCCTACAATATTAAATCTTGGAGCCAAAGATTACTGTGAATTAATAAATTGGGATATCAAGGAAGTTTATTCACCACCTTTACTGAATGATTATTCAAACGAAGATATTTTGAAAGCCAATGACAGTCCATTAAGTATCCCAAAGTATCCTTGTCATAGTCAGAATATGGAAAGAATAGTTGGAGTAGTCACAAAGGCATCAGAAAATATAAACGGCTACAAAAAACGTCAAAAATTTATAATAAACCTGTTGGACTCCAGGGAAAAAATGCCTGAATTTGATTGGAAAGCGCAATGGAAATAAGACATTTATAAAAATATGCATTTTTTTATAGCCTATAAAAACATTTCATTCTATTTTCTTTTTTATTTCTAAAAGTTTTGTTTCTTTGCTTAAAAAAGGTAATATATGAACAGAAAGCATTTTAAAGCTTACATACCTTATTTAACACCTTGTATCCCTTATTTTAATAAAATACCTAAACAGTATTTTAGGAGAACATTTTTCTAGTATATCTAAATCATTACAATTATATAAAATAAAATAAAATAAAGCAATTATAAAATAATTATATATAAAAGTTGCTTATACCCCTTTTTTCTCTAAAACATCAAAAAAAATCTGATTTTGTGTGCAACCCCTACAGAGGCTAGTACAGACCTCAAAATTGTTATACATCCTATACACATATATAGGAACCCCCCACAATAAGCTGCTTCTTAAAAAAAAAATTTGACCCGCCCTAATATATAACTTATAAAATAAATCTATGTATTTTCATAATAATAAATCTATGTATTTTCATTCTAAAACAGAATAAAGCAATACCAAATCATCATCAAAGTCTTTTTCCGACAAACTACGACCCAGCCTTTTATGCTCAGATTCAATATCATTGTTAATTGAAGTTTTAGGTTGACTATGGAACCATGACAATATCAATTGTTTACCATTAAACTTCACCCCGCGAGTAGCAGCTGTTTCTGCAGACTGACGAGTCGGAAAAGTAAGAACCAGCTTATCTGGGGTTGTTTCTTCAATACGATCCATTTGAGAAAAAGCCTAAAAAAAAATCAGCGATGATCAAAATACAAGAAAAAAGCACTAAAGAGGCAATGTGTTGCATTAAGCTAGGTTTGAAGAATTTATAGACACCACTATAAACCCCACCTTAAATAATATAAAACTTCAGCGCTTAGCAACCATCAATAAAACCAATAAACAATATGGTATCAATTGCAATAAGTCATACTCAGCATTAAGAGTTAAAAATAAAACATTTCATACGGCAAAATGTGATATGACAGATTCCTTTTCATCAGCTGCAAATCCTGTAACTAAAAGTTGTTTTGGCCGATTATCTAGAATATTGTTTTTAAATCCATTATGCCCTCGACCACGGTGCCACAGGCTTGCTCCACGCCCTCTTGTTTTAGGAAATCCTCTTCCTCTAGGGTTAAATCCAATCTGAATGTTACAAAAGTTAAGAGTAAATAAAAATTAAGTAAATAAAATAAAAGTAAAAAATGAAACGATATAGTATAAAATAAAAAACAAAAATGAAATGATATAGTATAAAATAAAATAAAAAAATGATAGTCTTTGTAATGTTTTAAGTAATAGTCTTTGTAATGTTTAAAGTTTTAAGTAAAATTCAGTCAAGATATTAAATAAGAAATGTACAGATAAATACAAAATATAAATTTTGATTTTTGTCTTCTTTTTTTTTATTAAATGCATGCTGCTTGTTTTAAACTAATGTATTTTTTAAATTTATGTTATTAGAGTTATCCAGAGACCAAAATATTTAGGGCAAAAATATAATTAAGAAACAAAAGTATTAAAGAGTGCTAGAAAAATGTAACTAAAAAATGTAACCAAAAAAATGTAACAGAAAGTTAAACTCTAAAACTTTAATTTAAAAAAATTAAAAGAATTAAAAATTAAAAATCATTAGATAAATTATTTGATTTTGTTTTGTTGTATTTTTCTCCTTTGGTATTACACTGGTCAACAATTTAAAAATTTCTTTATACCTTTTTTTACTTCTTTTATATCTTTATATATATTTTTATGCTGTGACTACAGAAATGTCTTGTAAAAAAAATTAATGTCATATCTATAAACCACTAGTGTGATATGCGGCATACATTTTTATTTCCTGGATCCAGAGGCTTTTGGGAAGATCATATTTTTTATTTTACAGTGATCAGAATGTGCTTAAAAATTTGGTGTATCCCAGTTGTATGTTCAGCAAGATTGCAATTACTTTGAGATTCTACAGATTAAACACTGTTGTAGTTAATAGAGTCAAAAAGAAACTGCATGCTGACAAGACTCCATTAAGTAAACAGCATATATATAAGAAATTGATTGGTTCCGATTAAGCAATAACACTATTTTAAAAATATATGCACCAATCAAAAGTTTGTCTATGACTGACTCATAGAGGAAGATATTTAATTAGTTAATGTGATGCTCAACACAATACTGTTGTTAATGTTTTGATGACTCAAAAGGAAATTGTTGTAACTGTTGTTGACTTAATGTATCATAAAAACTAAAGCTAAACATATTTTAATGTTTCCTTTTCAGCACAGCAAAATTAATTATAATTGGCTAATTTCATCACCACTATACATTTTAGTTGATACTATATTACAAATATTATGGACTAATAAGCATGAAAATATCCATTTAATTAATTTAAAAAAATACATTACAAATAATGCAAAAAAAAAGCCAGTCTCTTTTTTGGTGAAATAGAGCCTGGAATGGAACTCAACATTATGTCCATACTAATACTGTCAAATATTTGTTTTTTCATAAAGCAGCCTTTTCTTAACAAGTTAAAAAAGAGGGCTAGTAAAACATAGGTTTCCATAAAATATATACGAAAATAAAAAAAAAGTCTACAAAAATAGTTAACTATGTTTGGGATACATCTTTTAATAAAGCTTGGATATTTTGATAAAGTGCAAAAAAACATTGTAATTACAGTTATAGCTCTAGGAGCCTAACTACGCAGGACCTACTCTAGCAGCTTATCTATGCAGAACCTAATCTAGCAGATTGCCTACACAGGACCTGCTCAAGCAACCTACCGATGCAAAAACTACTCTAGCAGCCTACCTACGTAGGACCTGCTCTGGCAGCTTAAAATTTTTTTTTATCACATAAAGTTGTTCAAAAAACTTTTTTTGAACTTCAGAACTCACTCCTGTCATGTTTTGCAAATTCATATAATTTACAGCTTTTTAAGTCTTTTATAAATGATTTTCTTACTTAAACTTTTTTACTTTGTTGTATTTCTAAACTTACATAGTGGTTACCTGCAATCTTGTTAGAAATAAATTTGCATTAAAAAAGTCTATAAAAAAGGTGATGGCAGTCTTGTTAAATTTTATTCAAAATGTGTATTTTTTAAATAAATTTTTTACCATAAAAATTATGTGTAAATTATGTATAAATTATATCATTTAAAATAAAAAGACCATCATGCTTTGCATGAGCAAATATAAAAAATATGTTGTTTGTTTTGGCATGGGCACAAATAGACTAGACAATCAGGCTTGGTGGGAAAGCGAGAGCAATCGCTCTCAATTACTGACCACGGAAATAATAAAATTTTTAGTTGCGAAAAACTGGCCATTTATTTTTTAGTCGCTTTGAGAATTTTTGAACATTTCAAAACACACACAAAAAAAAGCGCAATAAATATTAATTGGACCAATAAGAGACAATTACAAAAAAATAAAAAAATAAACTAGGAAAAAAAAATAACTTATAACACGAATAAACTTAAAGCAAAATAAATTACATGTAGAACAAATATTTTCGAAACATTGCTCTTTTATAATTTTTTTTTTAAATTAAGCTACATTTTTTATATAAATTTTATTTATCAAAAGGTATAATATAATTTTTATTTATATACTCGTGTTTTATATCCAGTGCTGGATTAAGGAGGGTTGGGGTTAGAGAGGGCTATAGCACCGGGCCTCGCAATGTTAGGGGCCCTGAAATAGTCAAGATGATTTTTTTTTTAGTCATTTTTATGATGTAGCTCATAAAAAAAGGCCTCCAAAATAAAAATAGCCCTGAAAAGTCCAACAAGATTTATTAAAGCTAAATTATTTTATAAATAAAAAAGTTTATTTTTTTAATAACTATTTTATGCTTCACGTAGTTTGAAAAGTTCAACATATTTGAAACAATTCTTTTTACATAAAATGAACAAATATATCTTTGTGTTCTGTCATGACCTCAGGTGCGGTGTTTGTTCATCCACGAGTTACTTTGCACGCATGTTTATGTTACCAGAAACTTCTTGTGTGTTTATTTCATAATTAGTTTTACTAACTTTGATGACTATTAATAACTTCATTGAAAACACAATTATTGTTGAAAGTTTTTTTGTTTACAAAATAAATCGTAAAGATTAAATAGAATAAAAAACAGATACACAAAATTACGTTTACATAAAAATACATAATTTTTAAATAAAAAATAAGAATAATCAAATAAAATCTATAATATATAATAAATTTTCAAAATTTTGACAATTTTAAACATTTATTTTTGTAAGCAAATAATAATAGTTTAAAAGACTTACGGCTTTGCATGATGTGGCTCGGAGAATGCGCCAAATAAAAAATAGTTTGTTTAATAATATATTTTTAAAACAATTTATGCTGGAAATCTCAAAACTTAACATATCTCAAATAATAAAATTTTTAAAACATTTTAACAAAATATTCTAGAACTTTATTTTGCTTAGCCAGCGTATTTTTTGAACCAATAGAATTAGTTTGTTTATAGATTTGGCAGGTTTTAAGAGTTTTCAAATATTCTTTTTATTCTATCGCATCAAGATGTTTTGAGAACATTCAAATTTATGTATATTTCCATATATGTCCGCAAAACAATAAATTTTTGTTTTACAGACATACATAAACTTAAATGTTCTCAAAGAGGCTAAAAAATCTGGCCAATTTTTCGCAACTAAATATTATTTCCGTGGTCAGTATTTGAGAGCGATCGCTCCCACTTCCCGACCAAACCTGGCTAATCAGACAACTATAAGAAAGAACTGAGTGTTGGAAAGATATCTAAAGAGCTCTGGTTGAAAAAAAAAAACAATCAGGAGGAGTAAGAATTAATAGCAAGAGTAAAAAGTTTAAAGAATCAAAAAGAAACAAAAAGATTTTTTTTAAAACAACAAGAGATCTAACTTTAAAAATCTAGAAAAAACGTACAGCACATCTGATTAAAATACAGCTGATTAAGATGTAAGAACAAATAAAGAAAAAAACAACATAAAAACTATAAAGAAGGACCAAATAGTCTCCGGACAAGAACAGGAAAGCTTAAACCATAATTCAATGGTTTAAACTTTTAATTAGAAAAATAAGTAATAATTAAAAATAATATACACCTGTTTAATATTAAAATAATATAATATAAACCTGTTTAATATTAAAATAATAAAATATACACCTGTTTTTTGAGTAATATTAGTGCATGCTTCGCCTCTTCTAATTCATCACCGCCCAAATGCCCATTATATATGTCAATCTCACGATCTAAAATTTCTTTGTTTGGCTGCAAAATTAATATTTTGAGTTAATTGTTGTAAGCAAATTTTAAATAATTATATAGTAATTCCAAACTTACGTCTTTTGTATATTGTACTGAACTTTTTTGTTTTATTTGAGAATCATCTAAAATCTCTTTTTTTAACCTTTGTACCGTTACATCACAATGTTTGAAAGTCTAAAAAAAAAATGAATTATTTTTTAACCAAAGTTAATTCATTTTTAATTGTGGGTTTTAATTAACACAATTTTTAAAAGCAATTTCTAACAAATAATTATTAAACTCTGATATAAACTAAATTCTAATCATAATGTAAGCAGTCATAACTAACATAATTAACAACAAATACTCAATACTATTGCTGAAATAAGTAATCATTATTAAGCATAAAAATCAGAAATAAACTTTAAATCATAGTCATCATTCCTTAAAAAAGAAACATATATACTATTTAGTAACCATTATTAAGCATAAAAATCAGAAATAAACTTTAAATTTTAAAAAAGAAACATATTTTGTATAAAAATTATATATATCCTATTTTGCATAAAAAGAAAACTCCTCTATATAAAAAAGTCTTGCTCAAGCCTACATAAAATGAAGGTTCTGCATTTCTCAACCAAAGTGATAAAAAGCATTTTTTATCATAAATTAAAACCCTCATCTTAAATGACTATTTCCAAAACACCAACTTCATCTTTTTTTATCTACTTTATATCTTCAGCAATTTTTTTCCTAAACAATAAAAACCATGCTACTACTTGCATTGCCCTCTTGTTCAAGTCATCTTAGGAGTAGTATGTTCTTAAGATTAGAAACTTATTACAAATTTTCTGTTGCCCAAACTTTCTGTTAATCTTTGCAGAGTCTAGTTTAAGAACTAGTTTATGTGAAACAAAAAGTAATGGAAATTTATGAGACTCACTCCTCCAAATATTTTTTAAAACATTGCTTTAACTATTTTTGTCTCTCTTTTCACCAAACATGACACTTTATGGACATCCCCAAGATAGTATTTTAACCCATTAAAATCATTTTTCCAAAAATGACTTTAAAAAAGTAGCAAAACATGTTATTTTTATTTTATAAATTTACATTAGAAAAAAAAAATTTGACTTGAAACTTACAAAAAAAAATTATTTATTGAGATATTAAATAAAATGTTTCAGCTATGTCTTCATCTTGTTTCTGTTGATATGATATGATATATAAATTTTTTTTTTTTATAAAAAAAAAGCTGATGAATATTTTCACTGTTGAAGTTTTTTTAATATTAGAATTACAATTTTCAATCTAAATTTTTCTTATTTATATACAGAATAAAAGTTACATTAACAATAGTATTATTTAAAAATTCAAATTCGCTTTTAAAAATGTTTCATTTTCTTTTTCTTAACAGATTTAATTATTTTTTTTTTTACTTAACTGAAAACCTAAAACTTAAAATATAATTTTACAATACTTTTTTTTTTTTTTGACTTTTTGTTGAACATACGAAAATAAAATCATTAAACTGACCAGATTTTTTTAAAGAAAAAAACAACAAGCCCAAAATTTACTTCATGAAAAATAATATGCACGTTTAAAATGAAAAAGTTTTTTGTTGAAGTCTCAATAAAAATTTTTATTATATTTATGAAAATTTTCTAAAGTTTATTTAAGATATAAAAACAACTTGTCTCGCTTGCTCCCATTCATCCCAACCGCTTGCAGATCCCATTCATCACAACCGCTTAAATAGTTTGTTGTGAAACTAGGTTTGAATCTACAGACTATTCTTTTATGTGCTTTCGTTTAGCACCACTTCACTCTATCGCCTTTCTCTTTGTTCTATATCGCTCTCAGATCCCATTCAGTTTTATTTTGAAGCAATCAAAGATAAATATAAAACCAAAGTATAAAATTTAAATAAGTTTTATTTAAACTTTATTTTATTTAAAAAAATGAAGTAAAAATAAAGTTTTATGATAACTTACAACAAAATAAATTACAAACTGTAATATTTAAAACAGAATTTTTTTCCTTTTTCTTTTAATAAAAAAAAGATCCCATTCAGTTTTATTTTGAAGCAATCAAAGATAAATATAAAACCAAAGTATAAAATTTAAATAAGTTTTATTTAAACTTTATTTTATTTAAAAAAATGAAGTAAAAATAAAGTTTTATGATAACTTACAACAAAATAAATTACAAACTGTAATATTTAAAACTGAATTTTTTTCCTTTTTCTTTTAATAAAAAAAAATATACAATATAAAAAAAAATTAAAAAAACTTTTTTAGCAATTTTTCGAACCTGGTAAAATTTCAAACAAAATTTTTTCAAAAAAAAAGGGTGGAAGGTGGGTGAAAGATATTGGTAAATCCACAAAAGTTAATACTTACCTGAATCAGTACATGATGGAGCAACTTTTTGTGCATTTATTATTTTTAATGTTGTTATTACACAATGCTCTCTCTGTCCTATAGATCCAAAAAACAAACCTTGACAAACATCTTGTCTGTAATTTTTTCTATTACTTTTTCAGTTGCTTCCATAAAATGTTCCAGTAATTTTTTACAGTAATATGCTCCAGTAACTTATACTATACAATACTAGAACTTACAAACTTGCATAAAACTGCAACTGCTTAAACCTATTTTCCTACCTATTTTCCAATAAAACCTGTTTTGTTATAAAATATATATTATAATTAAAGATTTAAATTATAATTATTTTTAATATAATTAAATATATTTTAATTAAGAATTAAAAAATAATTTTTGAAAAATTTTTAAAATATTTTTTAAATCTTTGACTTTTAAAATATTAAAAAAAATTTTTAATGCTTTAATCTTTAAATTAATTATTATTATTATTATTATTTTATTATTATTATTATTTTGTTGAGGTTATTCCAAATTTTATTGGTTTCTATCCTTTTGTGACATTTATTTTAAAGTCACATTTAAACATTTTGAGTTCTTTTTAAAGTTATTAGAGCTAAAATCAAAGGTGGGTTTTTATCCATCAGATAAATACAGTCTATGGAGTTCTTATGAGGTACTTGTCATAGATTTCCTGGCTACATGGACAACTACCAGTGGATGATATGTAACCTTAAATTGCTTGATAAAAGGTTAACATAAGTTAAGAAACAATTAGGCAAATCACAAATTTTTAAGAACTTGCAAAACTTTAAGTTTTATAAAAATTAATTTTTACTTTTAAAACAACCTGCAACTAATTGTCTCACCAAGTATACTATTAAAACTCAAAATCACCAAGTATACTCTTAAAACTCTCCAATTCTTACCAAGTTAGAGAAAACTAAAATAATTATTGTATTTAAAATTGTAATATCAATTGTAATTATCACTCTCATATACAACTAGTTGATTATAATATTTAATTTATAATTTATAAGTTTTAAGATAACAATAAATTTACCTTCAATAAACGTTCTCTTTGTTCTTTTGTGAGAGTCTTTCCATCTTGCAATTTTTTTAAAATTCCCTATGCAAATATATATGTTTCAAATATAAAAAATGAAATAGAAAAAAGAATGCAAAACTGGCACAGCGTCAATAACTACCATTATATAGCAGATAATCATAGTATTAATTATTTTTTAAAGGTAAACTTTTAAAAATCAAATATAAATACACATACATTTATACATACAAACATACTTATACACATACATACATATATATATATATATATATATATATATATATATATATATATATATATATATATAGAATATCTTATTTGAAAAACCTCATATGTCATTATTGAGTTATGAATAGAATACTGTTCAGTGATAACTTACAACTAAAGCACTAAAGGTCACTAGCACTACCTTTATTGAGCTGTTCTTTTGATTTTTTCAAACTTATTTTTTTTGGTTGTGTGGACAAGTAGGGTTTTACAAATACGAGGCAATTTTCTTTATATATATTTATATGAAATTCATATAAATATATATAAAGAAAATTGCCAAGTGTGACTTTTTTGTACTCGTAAAATAAAATACATTATCAAAAAATGTAAGTATAGGCCTTTTTCATATCCTTGAGAGCAATCTTTGTCATTACAAAATGATAGTTACAGTGTTTGTAAATATATTTTTTCATGTATTAAATAGCTTTCATTTGTTGATTTTAAGAAGATCAAATATACATAGATATATACATAAATATATAGATAGATATACACATATATACATATATATATATATATATACATAGAGAGAATCAGATAATTTTCAAAAATAGTAATGAAAAAATATTTTTGGCAGTTTTTTTTTTTTTTAATAAAATCTGCTTTAACTTTAATACACTTAGTATAACATTTTTTAATCATAAAACATTATCCAACATAATAAAACAATCAGATTTATATGTAAAACACCAATTAAAAACTGGCTCTTTATTGGATATAAAACACTTTCTAGCAAGCAGCTTTTTTAAATGGAAGTCTGAGGCAATAAGATGTTCTGAGATTATGACTTTGATTGGACAAAAATAAATAAAGTGGTAGAGTGAAAAATATAAAAAAATTAATAAAGTGGATGACCCAAGTGAAGCATTAAAAGTGTTTTAGTCCCCCCAATGAGCAACCGAAAAAAGCAAAAAGTTAAACATTAGAAGAATAAATCTTTTTAAACCTTTGTTTAATTCTTTTGTTTTAAATTATTTTGAACTAATAACTTAATAATATTACAATATTACAGTTAACAGTTAAATAGTTAGATGGTTTAAATATAATAAATAGTTTTTTTTCTTGATTTAATTTTGTTGCTGTTGTTAATATTAAGTTGAATTTTTTTTTTTTTATTTGCATTCACTCCCAACAAGGCTGCAAGCAACCACTATTACGTTGGGAGTTACTAGGAAAAAAAAAAACAGAGCTATAGAGCAAGGAAACGGTTGACAGAAGACTTGAAAAGTTGAAGGTTGTATGAGTCAGGAAAACATGAAGATGGGAGAGAGTTCCAAAGGATTGAAGTGCGGGGAAAAAAACTAGATGAATAAAAGTTTTTAGAGCATGCAGGGACAGATACAGTAAACGAATGAGACTTAGCTGAATGACGAGTAAAACGAGAATGAATTTTAGTTGATGGAACTAGAGATGATAACTCCTTTGAGCAGTGACCATGATAGTATTTGTAGAAAAGAGAAAGAGATGCAACTTTACGACGATGGGAAAGAGGTTCAAGCTTAGCAGATAGTCCAGGTCCAACAACATTTACAATGCGTTTTTGGACCTTGTCTAGAAGAGAAAGTGAATCGCTAGAAAAACCAGCCCAAATATGACAACAGTATTCCATACAGGGACGAATAAGAGATTTGTAGAGGTAGAAAATGGAATCAGAAGTAAGGAAATGGCGAGCACGATAAAGAGAAGCAACCTTAGCAGAAGCTAATTTAGCAATCGATTGTATATATGGTTTCCATGAAAGGTCAGTAGAGGTCAAAGACTCAAAGACCTTGCTAATAACAGAAAGAAGACTGATCGGACGATAATTGGAGGGGTCAGAATTTTCTCCAGAGTTTTGAATATTGGAACCACAGATGCCATTTTCCAACAAGCAGGAAAACAAGACTCAGTCAAACACTTGTTAAATAGTTTAGAGAGAATTGAAGAAAGTTCTGGAGAACAATTCTGCAAGACTGTGACAGGAATGTTGTCTGGACCACAAGCTGTAGACGAGTTTAATTGAGATATGACTTTAGCAACAGAAGCCGGAGTGATTTGAATGTCTAGCAATGGGTCAACCTGTTTGACTGGAATGGAAGGAAGAGAATGTCCATAAGATTCAAGAGTGGAATTAGAAGAAAAGTTCTTTGCAAATAGTTCTGCCTTATCCTTGGGAGAGGTAATAAGATCAGTCCCATGAATGAGAGATGGAATGTTAGATCTACCCTTGTTAACAATGCTGTTGAAGATTTTCCAAAAGTCTTTAGAGCCTAACTTCTGCGATAAGATGCGAGATTTAGTGAACTGAGAATAATGGAGTTTAGCATCAGAAAGCACCTTTTTACATCGATTTCTTGCAATAATAAATAGCCGTTTGTTCTCAAGAGAGTTGTTCTTTTGAAAAAGATGAAAAAAATGATTACGATTGGATATAGCAGCCGCACAAGAAGGAGAAAACCATGGAGTAATACGAGGCTTGACTTGAAACCGACGCAAAGGAATAAAAGCTTCCATTCCAGCCTGAATCTAGGAGGTTACGTAGGAGGCACATTTGTCAGCTGAGAGAGAAAAAACATCAGCCCAAGGACCATCACGAAGAAAATCACGAAAGGAATCCCAGTCAGCTTTAGGGTAGTAGTAGGTGGTGCGATGATAAGGTGAGCCCAAAAAAAAAGTACGAGAAGAAAGATTTACAGAGATCATTGCGTGGTCAGAACCACCTAAGGGAGAAAAGGGAGAAACTGAACATAGGCTAGGGTCAGAGACAAGACATAACTCAAGGAGTGAAGGTAAATGATTAGGGTTGTCAGGAAAACGAGTCACAAAGTTAACTATCTGAGTAAGAGATTGAGAAACGCAGAAGTTAAAGGCTTTAGTGCCAGCAGGATCAGTGGTGTTAGAGCCAAGCCATTCAGTGTGATGGGCATTAAAATCACGAACAACAACAATATTGGCAGAAGGGTAAAGAGAGAGGGCATGGTCAATTTGATCAGAGATAACATCTAAAAGAGTGCAATCATGGGAAGAAGGAGAACGATAAAGAACAAAGAGAAAGGTGATAGAGTGAAGAGGTGCTAGGCGAAAGCACATAAAAAAATGGTCAAAGGATTCGAACCTGATTTCACGACAAATAGGGGAATTAATGCGTATGTATACCCCTAAACCTAGCATGTGACTATTGGAGTCTTTACGAATCAAAGGATAGTACCCATCAACACTGATATCTGAAGAAGGAATTGCAGAATTTAAATTTGTTTCACTGAGTGCAAGCAAGTCTGGTGAATTTTGCAGGAGGTAAGACTCAACTGATGGAAAGTTGCTTCGTAGACCACGAATATTTGTAAAAGATATATTAAAATATTTAGGTGGTGGGGATGGTTTTTTAGGTTTTAAATTTTTGGTTACTTTGGTCATGATTTGGATTTAATGAGAACTTGACTCATTCATAGATAGAGCACAGCCTCCTAATCAATGAGCTATGCAGTTGTCTCAGTCCTGTTAATTAACCCTAAGCCGTGACATAGGGCTCCTTATGTGGCCTTGACAATGCACACCAAAAGCATTAACAGGGACACCATCCATGCGCAACATGGCACTGTTAATACTCTGATATTTTGCAGCTGTTGATGGAATCAGCCTCTCTGAGAGCTACCACAGAGTTCGGGAAACCTTACTATCAGCTGGCCTCAGAACCATTAAACTGAGTTTTAGAGCTGTACCCTCATATGGAGATAACAGGAAGAGTTGCATACCCATTATCAAGGAGGCATAAGCAAAATTCTATGAGTAGAGTCAAGGAGATCCAGCATTCATCATCCAAGGTAGGAAACAATGTAACACAGGTTACATCTACACCAGCCTAATAGATGAAGAAGGGGTTCGAGGCTGGTTAGCAGAATTTTTCTGCTTACCCCTTAAGTCTTTGCCTAGGAGGCCTTCTACAAGACAGTAGCTGGATGCAGTTAACATCTGCCCTAGATGAGTATTTTTATCGAGACACCATCTCTAGCCTTTACTCAACCAAGAGCCCCAAGGCAGGGGATGTTTAGCTGGATGCAGTTAACATCTGCCCAAGATGAGTGTTTTTATCGAGACACCATCTCTAGCCTTTACTCAACCAAGAACCCCAAGGCAGGGGAATTTTTAGTCGGAGTTTATTTCTCCTAGCCTTTGCATAAGAAGAGCACACTCTGCAAGGCAGCAGGGCTTGTGGCAGGTGGTACTGGGTTACGTGATACCAGTAGCAAGATTGATCTTGATTATCCTGACCTGACCTGGAGTAGTTAAAAGGAGTTACTTCCCGCAACAGTACTTTGAGAAAACCAGGATATTTTGGAAGTGCATTAGGAAAACACTGCATCTAACAAAATACAGGAGTCTAAGGTGAGTGTAGGTTTTGTAGTTGGAGTAAGTAGTTAGTTACTGAGCTCACGCTGCATTAGAGTATAAACAGAACACAAACATAAATACTTTTATTTAGATATATTAGAATATTTAACAAATACTTTTATTAGACTTCACTCAAAGATTACCACAACTAAAATGTTTTTAATTTAAATTAAACCAATGTTATAACAGTTTTAAAGAAAATTATGTAAAAAAATACATGTTATTCATAAATGGAAAAAATACAGATGAAATTGAAAAAGAAAATTTAAAAATATGTTAAATTAAGCTAAGCTTTTTAATCAAAAGGATCAGCAAAAGAAGAAAAAATTGTTTTAATAAAAAGTTATTAATTGAAACATTAAAAAAAAATTAGTTTTCATCAAACTTAAGAAGAGAGCATTAGAACAATATTAGAATAAAGTTTTTGCAAAAGCTATAATCTTGTGCTGACTTTTTAGATTTAACAAAAAGTAAATGAGAACACAGGGTTTAAATTTCAACAACCAAAAAAAGATTTTTTTGTTTGACCTTTTCACTACTTTAAAGATGACTTAAATTTTAAATAATAACAGACTAATTATGTAATTAAAAAGTAGAGCATGGTCACACACAAGCAGCATATTGGTACATTTAGCCACAAATAAAAAGTAAAATTAAAGAAAATGCTTAAAAGGTTTAAGTTGATTGACTTTAAATTTTTAAGTGAGTCTATTACTAAATTTTGTCATATATTTTAAAAGAAAATAATATTATTTGCCTAATATTTTGCTTAAAACTACAAGAATTTACTTTTTAGACAAAATATAGATTTTTAAGATTTATATATATATTTATTTTCCTTTTTCATTTTGCTGAAAAGAGGAATTCCTATTCAAGTACTGCATCAAAAATGAGCACAGAGCGCACATTAAGTTTTAATAAATAAAAGTAAAAGCGCATACCGACTGTTATATAAAATTTTTTTAAATTACATTGTATTTATTAAGTTACAAATTACTAACTATATATATATATATATATATATATATATATATATATATATATATATATATATATATATATATATATATATATATATATGTATATATATATATATATATATATATATATATATATATATATACATATATATATATATATATATATATATATATATATATATATATATATATATATATATATATATATATATATATATATATATATATATATATATATATATATATATAAACACACACACACAAACACTCAAAATATGCGTACCTTTTGTTTTTCAAGCAACTCTTCATAATGAAATTGCTTTTTTTTGGCAAGATCCATTTTGAGCTTTTCTAATTCCTTTATGAAGTCATAATATTGAAAATATAAAACAAATTATAAAAATTTTATATTTAACGACAAATCAGTATAATTCTTACTCATTAATCTGGAAAAACTTTTAAAAATCTTCAAAAATTTAAAATTTACTTTTTTTTTCTCTTGGTTTATAAAATTAGGATCAGCTTTTGGATTTCTGTAAACTAATTCATTTGAAGATGCAACTTTTTTTGGTTTTTGTGTTTTTTGTTCCACCGTCACATCTTGACTACTTGTATTTTTTACCTAAGATTACATAAAAACTCATAAAAAGAAAATATTTTAAGAAAATATTTGTAAAAAAAAAATAAAAAACAATATAAATAAGTTTAATCTTTCTTTTTCTTAATTTGGCCTGAAGTATGAGAACCAGCAAATGTTCAATGAGTCAAAAATTACAGTAAAATAAAGAAAAAAAAAAGGTAACTATAAACTTTTACAAAGCCTTATTTATTTTCATTTGTAAAATGTACAAAATACAAAATGATGAGACAGGTAATTACAAAATTATTCTTATGTAGCACCAATAATAAAAACTCCAGTAAAAGTTAATTTATTTCTGTACACTTTTTTTTTTTTATATAATAAAATGTTTAACTATATAAATGAATCCTGTTCGAAGTTCATGTTAAAATAATTTGTTAAATTACTAAAAGATAAAAATTTAAATAACTTTTTTTTTAAACATTCTTTAAACTTTAATATTAAAATTTAATTAAATTTAGAATGATATAAAAATTAACTTGAAAACAAAACAGTTTAAAATTTGATGAATTATTTTAATCATATTATTTAAAAACATTTTTAATTATTAAGTAGTTTAATTACTTATAATTTTATTGTTATAATAAGTAAAACCATAACCAATCAAAAGCTTTAAAACAAAACATGTGACTAACTTAAGTATAAAACAAACTTCTCTCAAAAAATCATTTAAAAACATTTTTATCAAATGACACAATGAACCTAACAACAAATTTATATTTAAACACAAACAAAATTATTGAATAAAAAAATCCATAAATTGAAATCTCAACTTTAATGAAAATTATAAATATAAAATTGCCGATAAATATAATAAAAATCATCTTTCATGCATAAAATTCATTCACATTCATAACATTCAGTATAATTAAATAAATTAATTTACAGTATAATTAATTTCACTCAAATAAACTGTTTATTAATATATAAATAATTAGTATATAGCACATAGTTTAATTTAATTTATTAAGTTTAATTTTGCTGAAAAATAATTTAATTTAATAAGTTTAATTTTGCTGAAAAAATAGGAAATCATAATACAGCGATATGCTTTTAATGCTTTTTAAACTGAAATGATAACAAAATTTATAAATCTCTGACAAAATTTACAACTTACTGCTTGTTGATTGTTATTTTTTTGTTGTCTGTTAGGATTATGCCAAAACATTTTGATAAACCGATTGCCAAGTATAGCTTCAGGAGAATTGTACGCAGAATTTGCCTGCTGATATGTTGCAAATTCTACTAAGGCTGCTTGTTGATCATTATCAAATGGAGTCTAAGAAAACAAAAATAAATAAACAAAAAAATAATAACAATAACAATGTAAAAAAATAAATAGGTAAAGTAAACAAATAATTAGATGAAAAATAAAAAAAATCTGTTGCTTTTTAATTTTAAAAAATGTATGAACCTGTACTTTTGTAATGACACCAAATTTCTGAAAATGTTCACTAATCTTAACAATGTTATTTAAATTTGAGGGAATTTTGCGAATTTCCAACACAGTTTTATTATGAAATGGCTGTCTTAATGGTATTTGAACAGCAGCTTGTTGTTGTTGCTGTTGTTGATGTGCAAGTATTGTTGTTGCTTGATGTTGTTGTAGCTGCATTTGAATATGAAAGGCCTGCTGCTGTTGCTGTTGATGTTGTTGTTGATTTGGTAATGATATAGGAAGATACGTCTGCTGAAGTATATCGGAACCAGGAACATTTTGATACATTTGAAATGTTTGATTTTGCGGTTGTATTGTATTTATTTGACTATTTAATTGAAATATGTTATTTGGTTGTGTACCAACAATAGGTGTTAAGGGTACATTACCCAAAGCAATTTGAATAAGTTCATTGTGTGTTTTATTATCAGATTCAGCTCTTTCAAGTTTAGAAGAAAAAGAACCGTCACTTTTCATAATACTAGATTCTGTCGCTTCAATAGCAGGAGCTTCAGGATTATAAGCTTCACCAGCATTAACTAAGTGCGGTTTTGATCCAGACATTAAAACTACAAAAAATACCAATAAAAATAAAGTAACAATGGATAATAAAGATAAATAAATACTAAAATTTTAATAAAAATAAAAAATTATAATAAATTGAATTAATAATAACAACAATAATAAAAACTAATCACAATAATAATAATAATCATTATCATAATAAAAACAATAATTATTATTGCTTTTAATTTCAAAAAAGTTGAAATTTAGATTACTTAGCCTTATAATATGAAGAAAGGTAATGATACCATTATATTAGAATAATCAATTTAAAGCCTTTTCAAAATAATGTTACTTTATTTTGCTTCATTTATATTGTGTTTTAGACTAAAAAGACATTTACCTGGAGAATTATTTTTTATGAAAGCAAGTGAATTCCGAGGCCGAAATATAGGGACTTGATTTCTGTTAATTTCAATAGGCGATGGAATCGGTGTTTGCTTTTGTATATGAACTGTTGTCAATCCAGTATTAAGTGATAAAGCACCAGGAACTGCAGGTTGGAGAGGACGCATTGGATGTGAAGGTAACATATTAGGAAGAAATTGAAGGTGTTGAGGAGGCTGTTGTGTAAAATTTTGATGAGGTTGGATTGAAGGTAGACCAGCTAAAGTAAGCATCTGTGGCAAATTAGTATCATCAACCTCTAAAGGATCATGTCCATGATCATATGGACAAACCTCGCCGAGCATACAAAATCCTTTTTCTAAAATAATTATTACTATTTTCTGAGATTTAAATTGAAACTTATTTTAAACTAAAAAACATTAACAAAACAAAAGAATTATATTTTTTCAAATGTAAATATAGTAACTATTGTGTAAAATATGTGTAAAATTTTTTTCTATATGTCTACAAAGCGCTGATTTTATTTAAAACCTTTATTCTATTTAGAGTTTATTAAATAAAACATTTGTTTTTAATTTATTTGAAATAGCAAATAAAATTGTGCAAACCACCACCTACTAATAAGTATTAAGATGCTTTTCAACAACAACAAAAAAATTGTCAAAATCAATATATATATATATATATATATATATATATATATATATATATATATATATATATATATATATATATATATATATATATATATATATATATGTATGTATGTATGTATGTATGATATATATATATATATATATATATATATATATATATATATATATATATATATATATATATATATATATATATATATATATATATATATATATATATATATATATATATATATATATATATATATATATATATATAAAGAAAAAAACAACTTAAATGAGACCTATAAAACTGCACATTTTAAGAGTTGGGAAAACTATTTTCAACTCATGGGGTCATCCATAAAGGATGTCATTCAAATAGGGGGGGAGGGGGTCCAGACAAAAAGGACAAAAAAAGGAAAAGGGGGGGGGGGGAAAGGTCAGAAAAGGACATCACTTTATAGATTTTTATTTTAGTTAAATTAACGGAAAAAATTAATGGAAAACTATGTAAACATGTGCTTTTAAGAAGATAATGTATGAGAATATTTTTAATTTTATTTTTCAAAGGTGCAGCAGCAAATTCAAACATCATTTCGAGATAAAATAATTTTTTTTGGAATTAAAAAAAAAAAAAAAAAAAAAAGGGGGGGGGGGAATTTTATGACGTCCTTTTCAAAGTGGGTAGGGAAAAAGGAAAACTGGTAACAAGGAGGGGGCTTTACCAGCAAAAATTGGGTAAAAAATGGTGACATCCTTTATGAATGGCCCCATTTATATATATATATATATATATATATATATATATATATATATATATATATATATATATATATATATATATATATATATATATATATATATATATATATATATATATATATATATATATATATATATCAGTGCTTGGAATTAGACAGTTAACTTAACTACCTAATTCCAAGCACTGATATATATAAACAGGGTGCTACTAGTTATTTTACTTAAAAGTAACGCTATTGAAGAAAGTAATGTTTTAGAATACTTTTTAAGTCTTTAAAGGGACTACCAAGTCCCGAGACATGTTGTGTTCATATTAAAAAGAATGTTAAAAAAAAACGTCTAAGCAAATTTTTTTTGATTAAAACTAATTAATAAATGTATACCAAGAAAAACAAATCTTGTTGTTTTAGTCAAAGCTCGTCTTCTCCATTTTCTGAGGTATTTTGAGTATGTAAAATAAACGCGATTTTCCAGGCGCATTATACAGACTTGATAATTTATTCGAGCGTGTTTAATTCATAGAAATTTTAGTGCATGACGTCATTGGAAACATTCTAGAAATTCTTTAAAACTTTTACTATTAAATTTTACTAAAATAGCTAACTATAGTTACTTAATTTATTTAAAGTTTATTTTATTAATTGTTCGTTAGTTTTTTACAAATCTAACGAACAATTAATTAAACCAAGAAAAGATATAAAAATTAAGAATATACTAATAAAATATATAATTTGTAATTAACTTTTAGTTAATTACAAATTATATATTTTTATAATATATATTTTTTTAAATTGTCAAAATTAAGTTAATTAATTTTGACAATTTAAAAAATATATATTATAAAATATTTATTTTTGTAAACAAATGATAATAGTTTAAAAGATTTACGGCTTTACACATGTGGCTCCGAGAATGAGCCATAATATTAAAGTAATAGTTCATTTGATAATATATTCTTAAAAAAATTTATGCTAGATATCTCAAAACGCAACAAATCGTAAATAATACAATTCCTAAAACATTTCAACAGAATACTCTAGAACTTTATTTTGCATAGTCAGCGCATTTTTTGAACCAATATAATTAGTTTGTTCGCAAATTTGGCGGGTTTTTAGTGTTCGCCAATATGCTTTTTATTCTTCTGCAAGATGTTTTAAGAACATTCAAGTTAATTATGTTTCCATGTATGTCTGTAAAATAAAAATTAATGTATATTATTTTTTTAATTTTTAAGCCCTCGCCATAATATATATTGGATGTTATAATAATGGAAATATAAATAATGAAATAAGATTACCTCAATACCAAAAAATACATTTTTGAAAATCAGAGAAAAAGTGTGTTAATAATTTTTATTTTAATATTTACAAAGTAAATTAATAAAAGTGCATTACAATTTAGGTTTAAAATTATTTTATCTAATATTTTGAAAGAAAAACTTATAACAAAAGGAATCAAAATACACGTGGTCTAGACGATTATTTAAAAAAAGTTGCGCAAATAAAATACTATTTTGTTTTTAATTTTTTTACAAACACATTTTAGAACTTTAAAATACATTAAAATGAATATGATTTGGAAATTGTATGTAAAAAATAACAATCGGTGTTTTAAACGAACAAACAAAAAAATCTATGACGTCATGCACTAAAACTCCTAAGAATTAAACGCGCTTGAATAAATTATCAAGTCTGTATAATGCGCCTGGAAAATTGCGTTTATTTTACATACTCAAAATACCACAGAAAATGGAGAAGACGAGCTTCAACTAACACAACAAGATTGGTTTTTCTTGGTATACATTTATTAATCAGTTTTAATCAAAAAAATTTGTTCAGACATTTTTTTTTAATATTCTCTTTAATATGAACACAACATGTCTCGGGACTTGGTAGTCCCTTTAAAATGCGTTTCAAAATTTAGTAACTAGTTGTTTTTTATAAATGCTTTTTTTTTTTAAATAATAAATAAAAAACTATCAATCGCAAAATTATTTGGAAAAAAAAATTACTGAAGTAATGCTTTGGTTTTTTAAAATTTTAGGCAAACACCAACATTTGCATAAGCAAAAGTAAAGAAAGGTGACGTTTGTTTTTCTTTCTTTTTTTTAACAAACGCTCGCATGCTTGTAGATATGTCATGCCCTGTTGAGTGATATGCAAACATTGAAAATGCTACATTTAGGCAGACCTCCTAATGAATGATAAGCTAAAAACATTAGGCTGGTTAGGAACAAAGGTTTAGGTTTAGCAAAACTTGTTTAGCAAAAAATTATTTTGTTTTATTGGGTCAAAAACTTATAACCTTCCAAAAGAAACAAGAAAAAAAGAAAGCTTTGTACTTTTTAAAAAGCAGTTAAAATATTTTTTCTCTTCAAGTTAGTTTTTAAACTTTCATTTTAATATTTATATTATATACACATAACTTTTATTTTTATACAATTTTTGATCTCAGGACACATGTTAACAAGAGTTTTTACTGAAATGTTAATCCTATATAAATGTTTGTTTAATAAAAATAATGATTGTGTTTGGAGTACTGCAAAGATTTCAAAAATCTCACAGAGAATGAACAACAATTTTTGGATCATTTAATGATGATTGGATTAACCTGAATGGATTTGTAAACAAGCAAAACTGCAGAATTTGGAGAATCCTAAAAAATATCCACCAAAGTTTATTACACCCAGACTAAGGTAACTGTTTAGTGTAGCATCACAGAAGATTAATGGATCACATTTTTTTAAAGATGATACTGGTCAAAAGTTAAGATCAATCGAGATTGCTACAGAACAATGCTTCAGAACTTTTTCTTTACCCAGTTGCAAGCTGTCTGCAACAATGATATATTATCAACAAGATGGTGCTACGACCCACATCGCTCTTTAGACAAGAAATTTGCTGCAAGAAAAAATTTTGAATTGTATTATTGTGTCAAATGGTGATTTGAAATGCCTGCTGAGATCGCCAGTATGTAAATAGTCTGGAACATCTGTATCGCCAGTATGTAAATAGTCTGACAGTTCCAGACTATTTTCTATTATCATTTTCCTTAAAGTAATCTAAGTTAATACATAAAAAAAATACAATAATTTAAAATAAACATGTTTAAGAGCTAGCTTTGTGCCAGCCTCTTCTAACTTTGCTATACAAGCTTTTGTCTTTATTTTAAAACCCAAACTAAATGGTGTACACATTATATTTATATTGTTGTATGTTAGTGTAAAGAAAAACTTATAGATTTATGTTTCAAATAAGTTAAATCAAATCATTAATTAAATTTGCATTTTATACAAACAAAAAAACATTAATAAAGAAAGGACCAAAAATCAAATGTTTACAGATTTTTTGCACATTAAATCTAATAAATAAATAAAATTTACTAAACATCCAGGGTTCCCACTATTAAAACTAAGGCTAAAAGTAAGGACTTTAAGGAGATTTAAGGAGATATTTTCCTAATATTTAAGGAGATTTGGTCGCAAACGACCAAATCTCCTTAAATAGAATCTTATTTTTTTCAATAAATTTTAAATATAAACAGAAAAAAATATTATAAATTAATGTATTACTTTACATATATATAAATTTAAATATATATATATATATATATATATATATATATATATATATATATATATATATATATATATATATATATATATATATATATATATATATATGATAGAAAATATAGGTTTGCAAAATATCAAAGAACTATAAATTTTCTTTATTATTAATAAGTATAATCCTTCACTTGAATAAAACTTCCTAGATGATTAAGAAACAAAAATAAATAAAGAGAAATTAAGGAGAGCAGTCAAATTTTATATTTTTTAAATGTTATTTAAGGACTTTTAAGGAGGATTTAGTTTTTTTTTAAGGATATTTAGAGTTTTTAAGGAGGAATAGGAACCCTGACATCATAATTATGAATAAAATATAATTACAAATTTTTATTCAAATTTTTAAAATTTATTTTAATAAGTTTTACCTTCATAATCTCTACATTTATCTTTTTCTTTACGTCTAGGCCTCCTCTCTCTACTTTTATTTTCATGTTCTCGCCTTGAACGGTCTCTACGTGAACTCCTTGAATGACGACTTATTCTATTAGGAGATGATCCATGACGAGAAGAATGTCTACGTCTTGCTTGACCAGGAGAAGCACTTTTTAATGATTTATCAAGTGAAACTTCCTTGGACAAATCTTTTTCATTTACAGTTCCATTTCTGGGTTTAAGAACAATAGATTCTTTAGAAGTCTTTTTATTTTTATCAGTATTTGCTTCATTTGGGTCTAATTTAGAATCATTAGTAACTTGTTTAACTTCTAATATTTCTCTAGAACTATTGTTTACAATCATCTCAGTTTTACCAACATCACTTTTGTTTTCAGTTTTTTGAAATTTTTCTATCTCATTTTTATCATTTTCATCAATTGACTTTCTTTTGCTTCCCTTCTGTTCATTATTAACGATTGTCTTCACCTAATTAAAAAAGAGGATAAAAATAGTATTGTACACATGACCATTGATTTTATACATACATGATCGCATATTGATCATACATCATTACTGGTAAGACTTATTTTGTGAACAATGTTTTGAAAATCTTTAAGATACTTTTAAATAATCAACCATTTAATAAACATTTTAAAAAATTTAATTTAATTAATAAATATAATAGCTGGTTAGAAAAATGAATTAGGAAAAAAATTTATTTTGGTTATTAATGGTTTATTTAGTTAGTATAATCTTTGGCATTATTAATTTTTTGCCTCTTTTGGCACTTATTTTACTACTCCATTGTTCCTAAACAAAAAATTTTTTTGAAAAACTTTAAAAATTTATAAATCTTTTTTTATAAAAAAATTTTTAGTATAAATTTTTTTATAAAAAAAATTTTAAGTCTTAAAGAAATAATCTTGTGTCTTAATTTAGATAACAGGAAGAACACAAATGGAAACCACATGACTGACATTACCAATTTGTTGGGACTGACATCTCCAACTTGTGGGAAGTGTGTTAGTTTACACTTTTACAATGACAGTAGGTTGTATATTTCACAATTAATTTTGTTTCGACAAGGTTTTGACCATACAATCAATTATTTTTTCAATGTTTAGGTAGTGGAATAAGACAATAACATTTAATGTCATATCCACCTTTCTTGCTGTTCTTCATTTTGAAAATATTTTGATTGTATGTTATCTTCCTGCCTAACTTTCTATAACTGACATCATACAATTAATCCTGCACGTTTCATTCATGTTTATACAACAAGTAACTGTTAAGAACAACCCCGCTAAACAAAATAAGACCACATTTGCTGTCCATTGTATTGTTTTACATTTGTCAAATACAAATACAGTTTGTTAGAGTGTTGATTTTAGTGCATTACTCAAATCAACTAACCATCAAATCACTACCCATGGTTCAATTGAAGGAAATAACATTTGGTTTCATAACCAAGTTACCTAATCTGTTACAAAATTATTTATAATCTCCATTAGTAACAGTAAGTAGACAAAAGTAAATTTTAAAAGTATGATTTATAGTTATGCTATTATACAGATTAAACTGTAGAGAATACAACATCAGGGTTTTAATTATCTCCATAACATCAGGGTTTTAATTATCTCCATAACATCAGGGTTTTAATTATCTCCATAACATCAGGGTTTTAATTATCTCCATAATATCAGGGTTCTACTATCTACAAATCTGATACATCCTCAACATTACTATCTGAACCAGAGTCAAACCATAGTTCATAAAAAACTATGTATCTCATAGTTCATAAAAAACTCTGTTATTTTTTATAAACTCTGTATGTAACCAGAGTTCATAAAAAAAATAAGTACTAATTATTTTTGAATTAATTTTTTTAAAATGTGAAACTAAAATTTATTGGGCAAATAAACTATTATCACATTTTGTACTGAATAAGCTTCGTAAAAAAAAATTTTTTTTTTGTTAGCACTCATTTTTAAAATAAAATATATAATCAGTTTACAGAAAGTTAAAACAAAAAATGTGCTTAGTCTATTAGTACCATTAATAAACAAAGAAAATGATTGAAAACTGATTGGGTAGATAAAAGAATAAAAAAACTTAGAATGTAAAGTTTCAGCAAAAGGACAACTTATCTAAAAGTAAAAATAACTTTACCGAATTTACGAAGAAATAAAAAAATTTATCATAGTAAAAACAACTTTATTGAATATCAAATGAAGCAAAAGTTTTGATAGGTGGAATGACAAATGAAGCAAAAGTTTTGATAGGTGGAATGACAAATGAAGCAAAAGTTTTGATAGGTGGAATATGGTAGATGATACAGACTTTGAAGGCATGCAATTGCACGCTATTATATAACCACGCAAATAATAACTTAGTTTTGATAATTTGACCATGTTTGTTAACATGTTTATAGAATTTGAACATTTTAAAAATGAAAAAAACAGTAAAAAAAAAAAAAAAACATTTCTTAATCAATTTCTAATGAATATGAAAAAAACTTATCTAGACTTAACTAAAAAAAATTAATCTTAACATAACGAAAAATAAAAAGAACCTAAAAATAAAAAGAACCTAAAAATAAAAAAAATCTAAAAATAAAGCACAAAAAAACTAATTCAACTAAATAAAAACAATAAAATTAATAACAGTATAAATAAAATAAAAATTTGGAATAAAAAATTACTAGCAGTGATTTTAAAAGCTTTTTAATAATAAAAAAACAAGTAAAAATTTGAGTTATTTAATTGTAACAGCATTCAGAAACATTTGTCACTTTTTTTCAACAAGATTTTAAATTTTTTTTTGAGTGTATTCACTTAACCCGATAATAGTCCATGCCGTAATATTACGCAAACTAAAAATGGTTTCTAAATGTCCATGCCGTAATATTACGGTTTTGTGCATCTCTTTATATTTCCTTCTTGTTCATCAGTTATTATACGTCTACTTGTCACAAAAAATATTACTAAATAATTACAGAGCTTTTGTTTCAATAATTGTCTTTTAAACGTGTTTAGTTTAATTTTAAATATGACAAATAAGGCAGTTCTTTCAGTGCAAAAATAATTATCAAAAAGTAAACATTTACTCACAAAAAGATAGAATTTTATACATTCGATGAATCAATAATGACAAGATATATTTAATAAACGATTATTGAAAATGATAACAAAAGATTAATGCTCAAAGGCGGTATGTTACAAACACAATATTCAAAAAGGTTTTTTATTCTATTAGTTAAAAAACACGATGAATTTAAAAAAAAGCTGGACTTTAAAAAAATGAATTTAAAAAAAAGCTTGCAACTGTTTTTGCTTATGCAACACAATGATCGCAAAAAGTGACCAACGGAGCCGTCGAGTTACGTAGACCTGGGAGATGTGAAAATAAAAACAGATTGAAGATGATGTCATTTAGGTAAAAAAACATAAATTAATGCAAAAACTATTTAGTTGGAAGAGTAAAAGTTAGCAACTCAGGAAAAGGGGAATAAAAACTCACACTCTAGTCATCTTTTAACAAATGATGAAATAATGATCTATGAGTAAACAAGTCAATAAAAATCCGCTGGTTTATAATGGTATTCATAACTAAAATAATCGCACCATACAAGTGTCTAATAAATGTGGTACTATATATGTTCTAAACTCTAGATAAAAAATTGATAACTGATAATCACCTGTGTAACATAAAAAATATATAAATGTCGTTAATGTAACAAATTCATAATAAAAAGCTCACAAAGCGCAAAAATATATGGGTTTAAGAGGTAAAAAAATGTTGGTGCCATAATAACCAATTAGAATTAAGTAGTGGATAAATGGTGATCCCCCTCCTCAGGAATGCACTGCGATCACCAATAACGTTTCAGAGAGCCCGAAATTAAACACATGTACGTGTCTTTAACAGTCCCGTGTTTTTAAAAAAAAACACAGGACTGTTAAAGGGTTAAATAATTTTTATACAATTTTCAATAAAGAGACTATCGTCTAAATTTAATTTTTTAAATTCATTGTGTTTTTTAAATTCATTGTGTCTTATTTCACTATCTAAACATTAAACAACTATAATTCTAAAATATAAACATAATATAAAAACTTTATTCAGCCCGTTTTTATAATGTAAATAGCTGTGGTCAAACAGTAAAAAAAAAGTTATTATTTGCATGGTCATATAATGCCATGCAATGGCACACCTTCCTGTGAAGGCCTGATAACTCATCTAAGCAGCAACCATAGTAATAAAAAGTAGAAAAAAGTGACCAATCAGATTACAACATATTTCCACATATTTCAATCATATTACAATATATTTCCATATTGTAATAAAGTTGTATTTCATTGAATCTGGAACAAGTCCAACTATATATACAACATCTTTTTGAATCTTGTCTTGTATATTACTGAAAAAAAGCATAATTTTTTTCAGTAATTTACAGGTTTAAGATTAAACACGTATTTGTAATTGTAAATGGTAAAAATGGGCTGATTTGTCTTATTTTTGTATTTGAATCAAAAATTTCTTAAATATTTGTATTTGATTATTGAAATGTATTTGCTATTCTATAAACTAGGTTAACATGTGTTTTTATGGGAAATACCCAAAGGCTTGTTATTTTTCATTTTAAACACTAAAATAAATTAAAACTTTATTTTTAAGGAATATGTTAGACTTGATTATATTCTTTTATTTAGTAGACCATTATATCAGTCTTGTCTCCAAAGAATCTTTATATTTTTAATAACCTAAAGTACAAATATTTGTATTTGTATTTGGAAAATGCTAAATATGTTAAAAATTACCAACAATTAGGCAATCAGTATGGTATGCATATTTTGAAGCAATTTTACATCCATACCTTGCAGCAAAAACGCAGAAGAAAAAAATAAAGTGGTAAACGGATATAAGGAGTAGGGGATGAAGTAACTAAAGTTGGAAAAACTAGCTTCAGAGTAAGAAGAACACCAGAAATAAACCCTTATGCTGAACAGCTATCAGACATTATAGCATGTAACTTATGTTGCCGGAGCCACAATCAAAATGCTTTAAAACTATTCTACAAAAGTTCATCACTAGACTTTTTATACACAGTTGGTTGAAAGATGTGTCAAATTGGTAACTAAAACTCCAAGTTGAAAGTGACTAGGGCCCTGGCTAAAAATGAGACTTTTTTAAACTCTGCCCCAGCCCCGGCCCTGGCTAAACTATAAAATTTAAAAGGGGTTGATAGCCGGGGCTAGAAAGAAATTTATAATACTTTGTATATTATAACTTTATGCTTACATTTACTATTTATTATATACTTAATTTTTTTTTAATTATTTATTATATAAATGAGTTTTGTTGTCTAACAAAAATTGCAGATTTTAAGTCCAGAACTTAAATCCATAAGCCACAGCAAGCCTTAGGCTGTTACAGAAGAGAGACCAGATTAAAAATCAGCTGCTTGTTCTAAGCAATCAAAGAGTGAAGATTTTTTGTCAAGACAAGAGTATAAAGTTGAGTTGTCAACAAATAGAGCCACTTTAGATGTTAAATTTTCATGAAGATTGATATTGTAGATAAAAAAACAATGCAAGAGGCAAAGATTTAAGGGTACTACAACGTATCTTGTGGTACCCTTAAAGTTACTTGAAATAAAGGAGAGTGTAGGCCTTCAAGAATAACTTTATTACTGCTGTTAGTAAGAAATAATTTCTCAAAACCTTTATGTAAAGTAACTAATAACAGAGTGAAATCGTACGATAGTTAGAGAGGTCAAAGTGCTTTCTAGAGTTTTTTAAAAATGGAACCACTTATTAAAAACTTTTTAAAAATTAAATATTGAATATTATATAATTAATAAGATTAAATGTTAGACTTACTTTAGTTAATGACATTGTTGAAGTCTAACCAAAAGTCTCTAGAACCTAATATCTGATATAAGATACAAGATTTAGTAAACTGAGAATAAGAGAGCTTAACATCAGGCGGAACCTTTTTACATGGGCTTCTTGGAATAATTAAAGAACATTTGTTCTTAAGAGAGATGTTTTGTAAAAATTATGAAATAAATGATCAATAAAGCAACTGCTAGAGATAGTGAAAAATATGGAGTAGAACGAGGTTTTACTTAAAATTGAAGAGTAGGAATAAAAGCTTGCAAACTTTTAGTCCAGAAGGAATAAAAGCTTTATTATATGCATACATATTATGGACATAAAGATGCATACATATTATGGACATTAACATTAATATTGCTATTTATTTAGATGCTGGCATACAATATCCTCACATATTTATATAAACTTGAGTATTTATATGGTGTATTATTTGCCAAAGGAGAAGATGATCAGATGGATGTGTGGTGTGACTATAGCAAGACAAGAAAAAGGAGGCATAATCTTAGATAGATTAGAAAAAACATTGTATCAAACAACATTTGTTAGAAAAGATTAAAGTAATTTAGGTATCAGCATGTAGAGAGGTAGCATCTTCAGTAGAAAATGGTAGTGGTAGAAGTAAGAAAACTTGAAGAGAGTGCCTTATATATTGTATGAATAAGCTTTAGTTAAAATTAATGATGATGATGATGATGATGATGATGATGATGATGATGATGATGATGATGATGATGATGATGATGATGATGGTAATGATGATGATGACAATAATGATGATGATGATGACAATGATGATGATGATGATGATGATGATGATGATGATGATGATGATGATGATGATGATGATGATGATGATGATGATGATGATAATGGTAATGATGATTATGATGATTATATTGATCATGATGTTTATATAAACCCCGGCCCCTTCAACCCCGGTTGTTTACTAATTGCAAGCCATGTTTACAAACATGAACAAAGAGAATTATATAGATAATATTTTTACAAGCTTAGGCTTGAAATAGAAGTAAACCTTGGGTATAAATCCAAATATATGGCAACCTTTGTAAAACTGTGGAGGAGTAGCTAAAGACTTTGAAAAATTTTGAAACAGCTAAAAACTATGACACTTATAGTTATTTTGTTGTTTTTGAGATGGAGTAAGAGGAGGGAGTTGAAAGAAACGATCTCATTATTTGATAAATAGTATGTACTGTTGCAGATGGAGAGGGATCATTCAAAGCGTACAGATGAAGGATGTTTAAAATCAGTGATTATACTGTCCACATTCTTTATATATGTTGCCCAGCCCCTCATAAAATAACTTTTAATTTTGTAAAAACTATTTGAATATGTTAAAAATGATATAGTTAAAAGAAAAAAAATGCAAAAGAAAATCAATATAGAGAAAACAAATAAAGAATTCATCATCTATAAATAAATAATGAAGAAATTACTCACAATAATATTACTTTCGTTAGAAACACGATTGTCATTAGTAACAATATCAGGATTTACAGGTAAATAGGATTTTGTGTCTAAACTTGAAAACAGGTCAGCAACAAACTTCTTTGTATCTAAAATTTCAAACTTGAATTTTTTAAAAATAATGCAATCATAAAAATTAACTATTTAAGAGTGGATTAAATAACTGGATAAAATGAAAATAAATTGATTTAAAGGTTTTATGAAATGTGTGGGTGAAATAGATTGATTATAAAATGAAATATATTGATAAAATATTTGGATGAATTGCTCAAATGAATTTCACTCATAATTAGATAATACGGACAAACAAAATGAGTGGGTGAAATGATTGGATGAATATAGATGAATGAATAGAATGAATGGTTGGATGAATTAAATGAAGGAAATATGAATATAATGATGATGTTGAATAAATGATAGATAATGTAGAAATCAAATTATAAATTTGTTTATATAATAATTTAAATGTTTACTATGTTAACTTACTGTCACCCAAAAAAACATCAAGTTGATCTTCACAAAGAGCTTTTAACTCAACTTGAATCTTGTCTTTCTTAATTAGAGCAATTACATACTTTGCAAGGGCTGCAGGATCAGCATCGCATCTAAAAAAAATTTAATCATTTATCATTTTTTATCAAGTTTATATAAAATTCATCAATTTTAATATGAATTTGGTACATTTCAAATTATCTAATTAAAATTGAATATGGTATTTTTTTAATTATTTTTGGTAAAGGTTTCATCAAGAAACAAATTTTGTTTTTAATAAATATTATTTTTTTTAAATATATGTTTAGACATCATTTTTTTTCACACAAAAAAAGATGGTAGAGCATTGAATCAATTAGCAAGTAGTATCAAGTTAAATCAAGTTAGTAATTGTAGTTTAAAAGTTAGTTAAAGTAGCTGAAGATTATACTGATCAACTTTCTTTATTTATTCTAATGGAGTAAATATAAAAATTATCTTTGCTTCTTGAAAATCTGTGTCAATAATTTGCACTTCAACTGACACTTGATATTTTTTATATGGTATAACATTAACCATTTTGAGTAATCTTTTTTGATGATAGTAAAACAAGATTGACAAATAAAAAAGTACTTCCTTAAAAGGAAATTTAGGGTAAAACAATTTACTATTTTTTAATGGATTTTTTGTGTAATTATTTAGTAGAATGTACTTCTATGTTGCAATAGAAAACTAATTAATTAAATAAAAAGGTGTTATCTCCTTATCAAAATTTTCTGGTGTTATCTCCTTATCAAAAGTTTCTGGTGTTATCTCTTAATCAAAAGTTTTTAAAAACTTCTGACCATTAACCATAATTATTATAATTTCATTATAATTAACATTATAATTTCATTATAATTTACATTATAATTTACATTATAATTTACATTATAATTTTTATAACTATTATAAGTTTAATATAATTTATTTCAATTTCTAACAAATTTATTAAATTTCAAATGACTTTTTTTAAGCAGCTAATAAAGTTGTTTCTAAAACACTTTATATTTATAAAATACGTTATTTACAATATATTTTTATTTTTTATAAAATACAATAGCATTATTTTAGGTTGCAAATAAAGTTGGTTTAATATGAAATACCATTTAAACTTTATTAAAAAAATTAAATATACTGTTTTTTTTCACTTATACTTTTATTTATTAGAGTTTTTCATGCCACCAGTAATTTACAGTTTTGTCTTGAATTTAATTTCTTGAGAAAAGAATAAATATGTGGGTGAAAATTTAATAATAGTGTAAAAATATGTTGGAAATCATTTAGTTAAAGATTATTTTAGTAGGATCGTTCTAATCCGTACCAAATATTAACAAATTATGATTATTTCTTCATTTTTGATATATAAAAAATTAAGGAACGTATTTATTTATATTAATATAATGTCATTTCAATTGTTGTCCTTTTCATTCCATAGGAAAGTGTTAACTAATTGAAATTTTTATTTCAAAGACCAAAATGAGTAAAAATGAATAAACAATTAAAAATGAATAAAACCTGTTATAATGTTAAATTGTTAAATGTCAATATTAAAGCAACCAAAAAAATAATAACATGATTTACAATTTTATATATTACAATATACAGTTACACACAACTTTAAAAAAAAGAAAAAAAGAAAAGGAATTAGTATTTACTATTTTAAATAAAAATTACTCAAATAAATCTCTCACATTGGTTCCAACTTCTTAGAAAGCCAAAGTTTTAATGCATCCAAACCTTCAATAATCATTTTTTTACCTTTTTTTACTTATTGCTAAGTTAATTTTTATGTTCTCAATTTTATATTAGATGCAACAACTCCTAAATGATATAAATTTGTAATAAAATTATAAGCACGTGTTATAATATGACTATAATGGTAGCAATATTGATGACAATGATATTAATAATAATTTTACAAAATTTCAAACCTAAAAATTTAAAAAAGATAAAATAAAATTAAGCCTCTATATTATCTAATTGATAACTCGTAATTTCTATCTAAAATATTAAAGTAAATAGTATGTATAAAAGCTAAATATTTAAAAAAGGTCATTTGTACTATACTATATAGACAATGATGCAAACTTTTGTTTTTAATTAATCACAAAACTTAATTTAAGCTGCATCTTTTTCTTTTTTCTACAAATATATCATAGTTCCAACTCAAAGGAGCTATCATTTTTAGTTCCGTCAACTAAAACTCATTCTCACTTGATACATTATTCAGCAAAGTCCTTTTACTGTACTTGTCCCTGCAAAAAAAACTTTTATTTGTCTCATTTTTTCCCCTGCACTACAACCATTTGGAACTCTTTCCCATCTTCATGTTTTCCTGACTCATACAACCTACAATTTTTTAAGTCTTTTGTCAACTGTTTCCTTGCTCTCGCTTAACTCTGTTTTTTAAATCAAATGGTAAAAAAGACTAATACTCTTAAAAGGTTACAAAAACTTTTCTAAAATTTTTGTTATTTTGAAGTACAAAACTGAGAAAAAGATAAAAAAAGTTTATTTCTAATGTACTGCAAAATATCTTTAGCACCTCATTTTTATGTAACATTTTCTGTTTTCAAAATTTAAATGGAAAAGAAGTCTTTTTAATGATGTATTACCCTCTAATTGTTTTTATTAAAGAGTGTCTGAGATATGCTCTTAAAATAAAGCTAAAAATTAATTTCTAAATTTTATTATAAACTCATAAATATAATCATGAAATACTATTAAATAAATATACTTTTTAATAAAAAGTATATTTATTTAATAATATTTAATATATTTCATGATAAAAATGTTATAAAAATCTAAAAACTGACTAGATTACTAATTTTGATAACTCCTACTGTTTTCGATTTTGCAAAAAAAAACAAAAAAACATTTTGCTAGACTAAGTCACATATAATACCACACAAATTATTGTGTCACATTATACAATATAGTCAATTATTTTATATATAGTCAATTAATTTGCACAAGTTTGGCAGTAATTCAAACGATATTATATAGTCACTATATAATTTACACTGTAATAGAATACCATGTAATTGGATATGCACTATACAATAAATTACAAATTACAATAAAAACTTAAGTAGTAATAATATGAAACATAAAATAAACAACAACATATTTTGTTATTAATTTTACATATTTTGTTATTAATTTTATATTAGGTAGTTAGTATTTATTGCTGTAATTGGATTGGCCAGTGAGCATTTTAAGCACACTGTGACAGCCGCTTTAATTGATTGTTGTTCGTCCAACAGTCAAATCCTGGATTGAAGGAGTTTACAGACAATGATTTGACTAGTTTCAAAATTAATGAGTTTCATAAGTAGGCCGATCTATTGTAAAAGAAATTATGCCATTGCAGATTTTTTGTTGTTTCCCTATAATATTTGAAGCAGTGACCTCTAATATGATTTTGAACATTTTGTATGTTATGTTATGTTTTATTAATGTTGTTCATTGTTTTAAATAGTTGGATCATATCACCTCTTTCTCTTCGTTTAGTTAGAGTTGTCAATTTCAAAATTTTTAATCAATCTTCATAACTGAAACACATTATTGATTTAAAAGGTTTGGTGGCTCAACGCTGAACTTGTTCAATTACTTTACAGTCACCTTTTTGATACAGGGACCATACTGGTACTGAGAATTCTAGAAAAGGACGAATAAAGATTACATAAAGTCCAATCTTGCAAACGAATAAAGATTACAATAACAGTCCAATCTTGCAAACGATTTTTTAATTCTACCTAACATTCTACTTGTATTATTTGTTACAAAAAGAACTTGATCTTTCCACTTGAGATTTTTAGAAAATATTACACCTAGACCTTTAACGCTGGTAATTTTATGCCATTAATATATAGAGGATTTTTTTTGTTGTTTACTCTATAGTGCATTACTACATATTTTCATGTTGAACAAATGGCTATGATCATTTGCTTTGCAAATGCAATTTCAAATCCAGAAAATGCAAAAAAACATCTATAAAATGCAGCAACAATATCTATATAAGAAAGTTTCTTAGATTTTGTGAATCTAAAGGAGACAGCTTGTGCTGGTATAGTTGAAAGTATTATTAAGAAAATATTACACCTAGTTATGTCATATTTTCTTAACAAATATTATAATCTTCTATCCATTGATATTTAAATCCCTCTTGAGGTAAACTCATCTGAAATTAATTTGGACAAAATCTTAGTATCATCAGCAAACAATTTGCATTTATTCATTAATTTACTTTGTAGATCATTAATGAATATAATAAACATTAAGGGTCCAATAACAGAGCCTTATGGCACGCAACTAAAATTTTCAACCCACTCAAAAACAACTTCACCCAGAACTATTATTTGTCTTCAAATATTTAGAAAAGCTTCCATTTATTTTAAAACTAATTCATTGATACCATATGCATTCAATTTAGCAAAGATTCCTTTGTGAGGAACACTATCAACAGCTTCATTGAAGTCTAGCATTGCTACATCAACAGGTATACCATTGCTGTTGCTCGAAGGTAAACATCAACAGGTATACCATTGCTGTTGCATATATATAACTATAAAACATACTCATAATTTATAACATATGCTACTTAACTATATATTTTATAATATAAAGGATATAATCTAAAATGTATAATTTATATTTTAATTTTATAATAATATGAAATATGTAATTTTTAATTTTGAAATTAGATTTTATTTCCAAATTAACTCACACGTGACTGAATTTTTGAAACAATTTAAAAAAGTAGCGTGAGTTTAAAACCGTCTCAAAAATCTATTGAGCGGGTGATTTGGTGAAATATTCAAAATAATGATGATCATATGGCTTCTACACATTCTTCTAGGGCTGCTATATAATTATTATATTCTACTCGGAACTCGCCTAAGGAATTAAGTCATTCGGAACCTTAGACCATATGGACGACATTTAACGGTAAGAAACCAAGTACAAAAATTTGTAAATGAGAAATAAAAAAATTTGCAACTGAAACGCATATAATATCAACATTTTATAACTGTATTATAAAAATAAGTAATGGATATTACAGTTGGTTCCTCTTTAATAAACATGAAAAAAAACTTGTTGTGAATTCAATGGCGTTAAATTTTCAATAATGTCGGTGGTTCCTTTTGGTTAAATGCCATCCATATGCAGGGCCGGCGTTAAAGTATTTGGCACCCTAGGCGAGCCTGAGCCAGAGAAATGACAAACATAACACTAGAAAAAGCGTTTGCAATAAACCAAGCATCTACTCTTGTTGAATTATAAGATGCCTTTGAAGTTTGTGTCGTCTGCAATCTCTGCCAAGTTGATAACCGGGAGGTTTAAAAGTATCAATACGGCTTTCTCATTTTGTTTCAATTAGTGGTTTAACAGTGAGATTAGAAACATGTCAATTTAAAACTTCCCTGCGACAAGTTGGTTCAAAAAAGAACACAAATACACTATGTACCAGATCAAAGAAGAATAGTTTTTTCTAATTTAACAGCATCATTAACAATCATATTTGATGTATGTGCTCAGTAAGAAATAAACAATGCTTAGGGATTGACATCTAAAATTATTCGTTGGACAACTTTATTTTTTCCCTTCATATTTCTGTCACTTTCATATCTTTGATTGCATAAGTTTTCAATAGATAAAAACATCTTGTCTAACTACTTAATACTTTCAACTTTCAACCAGCACAAGTTGTCTCCTTCAGATTCACAAAATCTAAGAAACGTTCTTTTATAGATATTGTTGCTGCAATGTTTTTTGCATTTTCTGGATTTGAAATCACATCCGCAAAGCGAACGATCATAGCCATCTGCTCAACATGACCAACACCGGGTGTGCAATCAATTATTGTTGAAAAGCATTGAGAGTAGATGCTAAAATTTTTTGTTTGATTGCATTGGATAAAAGATGAATCCATTCATTTTATTTGTTTTTGCGAAGGTAATGTACTTGTGTTTCATTGTCTTTAATTTTTCAAAAATGCTCCTACATAAGTGAGTCAAACTAAGATAACGTTTCCGTTATCAGCTGTGTTCAGTTTCTCGTGTGTTTCACAAAAGGATTTTGCATACCAAGAACTCTTTTCTCTATTACTTCAAATCCCAGCTTCTTCTGCTGCGGAAACAATACACAGAGTCATTACATACAGAATACTGCAGCCAATATCTGCAAACTTTATCTCGATTGACAAATGGGGGTTGTATTGGTTTTTTGAAAATTTATTTTGCATACTGTTTTTAGAAAATTCAAAATGATTGACTTGTTTTGGCCCATGTTCTATAAAAAGTTGTCATATTTCACCATTAAATACCACCCAAGTAGCCAGATTGCTATAACTAACATATAGACCAGTGAATTTATTAATTTCACTTCAAATTTTTTCGTGTAACGTGAATTACTTATTGTAATTCAAACTCTTCTGACACCGTCATTTCATCGGCTTCCCTGTCTGCTTCAGCTTAATTATAATTAAGTCATCAGTGCTGCTTTCATTTTTCTGTAGTGAACATATATACTTTAACAACGAACCAGCCTGTTTTAATACAAACTTATCATTCGCTGCCAGTCGTTGAAGATATTGCAGCACCAGACAATTTTTCTCTTTGTCATCGTGGATAGAAATAACAAAAGAAAACTGCTAAAATGATCACCTCGTGTACCTTTAATATCGATATATTATCTGAGGAATTAAAGTTTTTTTATTGCAAAAGGTTACATGATTGCACAATGTTTTATAGAGTCACAGCAATCGTTCATGTAAATTTAGTTCATGTATAGTTGCGCACAGCAGTCACGCATGGAAGTTACGAATTTGTCAAGT